TCAGCATGGCATAAAAGCCCTTCATTGTGGGATTCTAGACCATCCCGTCACACACACACACCCCCCCCCCACCGTTCCTACTCCCTCTTTTCAGCTCCTTTTCTCCAGTGTCTTACTAAGTAGGCAAGTAAGACAACTCATGGCTAAGCGCATACACATACACGGCACACTCGCTTCCTACCGCCTCTGCCTATTATCAGCATTTAGGTGTTCTCCCTAGATACTAAGCACTTGGCCTCCACCCCTAACAAGAACCCCAGGAAGTAAGCACGCCATTTTTTTAGTGATAAGGAAGCTAGTGCAGATGGGTCTCCTTGACAAGACCCACAGCTAAGAGTGGGTAGGGGTGGCTTTGTTGACCGCGGGCATATTCCCAGCAGTCTCTCTTCCTCCCTCCTTGGTGATCTAACTCCTCTCCGACTGCCTGGCTGCCTCTTGCCCCGCATTGCCAGCTCCTGGCAGGCAGGAGCTGTGCCCTTGTCTAACATGCACTGGTTGCTTTAAATGTTTGCGTTGAACGGCCATCGGAGGACCAGGAAAGTGCTCCAGGGAAACTGGACCACACTAGTTCCACCTAAAAGTTCAAACCGGGCTCACTGCTCTCTGGGTCGCTACCAGATTTAACGGGGACTCGTGTGGACAGCCAGCTGCTGGAGCTCACTTACCAGAGGTGTTCACCACCGCAGCTGGTTTCTAGCCACACCTGCCCAAGGACTCCGTTTACTGCGGTTGCCGCAGCAACGCCACTCAGTCTGGCTGGTGCTCTGGGGGGGGAGGGGACGAACAAGCTATTAGGCGCATGCGCAGCATGCCCCAGGGCTTTTCCTAAACTGAGCAGGGGTGTTGTGGCAGAGTCCCGTCTTCCCTGGGGATGCTATTGCGACCTACCTCTCTCTAGGAAACAAGCCTAGCATTCCAACAGTTTATGACCCAAATGACTGAGCACTTTCAAAGGTACTTGCCCAACTTTCCAAAGCGACAAAAGGGTTCCCCGAGCCAGTTACTTGCCAACTAAAAACAAAACTTTTAAAGTGGAGGTGGTCTTAGTGAGGGAAGGCAGCTTGCCAGCTACATCAACATCGAAGACAGATAAACTAAAGCTACATATCTGTCGGCTTTTAAAGAGTAAATAGGTTTTGTGTTGTGAGGTTCAACCCTCGGGGATTTTTTTTTCAAAATCTGCAAGGCATGTATCAGACAAAGGAGTTGTATACAAAATAAATAAAGAGCTCCCGCCTTTAATAAAAAGGCAAATAACCCAACAAAAACTTTTGAAGTTTCTTTATGAAAGAATGTCTACAAATACCAATGAGCAGAGTAAATGAGGCATCACTATCATGGATAAAAACACAAATTAAGATGTCATAACTCAGCCACAGAAAAGGTAAAAAGACTGATCAAATACTGAGTAAGATTAGGAGTAACAAGAGAATGCACATGTTGCTAGTGAAAGTGTAAAAATGGAATGTCAGAAAATTTCTTAAAATCAAACACACTGTCATGTAAAGCAGCAATTCCATTTCTAGTTTCGTATCCAAGACAAATAAAATATTTGCTCCTCCTCCATGGTTGGCTTATGTGTGACCGTTTAAAGCTGGAAACAAAGCCAGGCATTTGGTGTCGGGACACCAAGTGCAGAAACTATGACACGGTCATACAATCAAACACGAATAGGCAAGCCAAACGTTTATCTGTTGACACACACACAGCATGGATCAATCTCAAAATCACGCTGAATGTGAGCAGCCAAAACAAGGGTGTGTTCTGAATGACTCCATTGATATGAAATTCTAAAATAACCTTTGATGGTAAGAGCCACGCCTGTAGTGTTTTCTACTGGTGTACAGGGGGGACAACTAACAGAGAGGGACAAAAAGGGTCAGCTGGATTGGTACAACTGTCCTGTGCCTTCATACCCATCCTAAGATTGATTAATGTCTACACATCCCACTGTACGTAAACTGTATGTTAATTACAGCGTTTAAAGGTTGGAAGTGACCCATGTAATTTTAAAAGCCAGATACAATTTTCAAATAGATAATGCTAACTTGAACCCTAAGATTGAAGAGAGGCTATTAACCCATGAGAAAGGGGCGCCAGGATTCTAACAGGGCAGTATTTTTTTTAATTTGTATTCTAACATATACTCTTTCGACATCTTTTGATAAAGTATTAATTGCTTGGCCTCTACTTAAGAGCAAATATTATTCTCTATTATCCTCCCCTGTGGCATAGAGACAATGCTCTGAGGTCAGACATATGGCCCCTACCCTTACTCAGTGATCAGTGTCCCCAGTGGCCCAGAACAGGGGTCTCCGATTATGTGCAAAGTTCACAGAACGTGAAGCCAGGCAGCCAGTGGCAATCCCACGTGTAGCAGTTCACAAGCTCTGACCTCAGAGGATGCATATCCCTCCGGAGCATACCTTCAAGTTCACAGCCCACCACTCTTGGCTGTGCAGGAAGCCTCACTTGCTTCCATGCAGGAATGTTTCCCATCCATGACTCATGGCCCTTACCAGTCATCATCTAGCTCACTGAGGCATCAATCTAGTCTCTCCTTTGTTTCTAGGATTCCAGTTTTACTAAATCCCACCCCCACCCCCCACCCCCAACTTCCTTGTAGTTTAGAGACTTCTAGGAAGGTTTTTCTTCAGTAATGAAAAGGAAACAGCCACTGCTGACAATACTATTTCCAATGTGGATGGGACCTTTGCAGCTGAACGAGCAGGACTGCAACCAGGAGGCAATGAGCCCAGTCAGCCCAAACTGTGGCGGGTCCAGAAGGCCGGGTTCTCGACAGTACAGACAAGGCACTCTACCATATTTGGACATTTTGTCTCCAGAATTTTTGTTATAATGAATAAGGGTGCTAGTTAGGAGCATTCCGGGACAGAGCAAGCTTCCAGGGAGGACCTAGATACCCAGAGAAGATTGTCCTCAAAGCATATAGGAAGGTAAAAACAGGGAGTGGGTAACTCCAGGATGAACTCTGTCCTAAGGCGGGTCCTGTGCATAATTCCAGCTCAAAGGATCAGACGAAAACAGAGGTCGAAAATATTGGCAGAATTATTTTTTCATGGTTTAACTTGTTAATGACCGTTTCCTCCATTCCTACACACACACAACATTAAGAGGAATAAAAATCAGGCTGGAGAGATGGCTCAGTGGTTAAGAGCACCGGCTGTTCTTCCAGAGGTCCAGAGTTCAATTCCCAGCACCCACATGGTGGCTCCCAACCATCTGTAATGAGAACTGGTGCCCTCTTCTGGCCTGCAGGCAGAACACTGTATACGAAATAAATAAATCTTAAAAAAAAAAAAAAAAAAAAAAAAAAAAAGAGGAATAAAAAACTGAAGTATTCAAATTGAGAATAATGGCTTTTAAGGTTTAAAGATGTGGGGGAGACTAAAGCTAGAAAAACATAAAGAAAAATACGTATTAAAGAAAGTACTCATGGGTGAACAATGCTGTTCCCAGAAGGCACAGGTTATTAAATGTGAATCTTAGTGCTAGCACAGGATAACCTCTACAAGACAGGTCAGGGAGGTAACAGGCTATTTCTATGCCATTGTTTGCACACCATAACTAGATGGTGAGACCACATTGCCGAAGACTAGTATTTTAAGTGTGAGTGCTCAGCTGCAGAAGAACCATCTGTATCAACCACACCTCTCCATCCAAGGTGCTGTGGATATCGCTCTATATAAATAAAGCACTGATTGGCCAGTAACCAGGCAGGAAGTATAGGCGGGACAAGGAGAAAGGAGAATTGAGGAAGGGGGGAGGAAAGGGAGACCGGCTGGAGCCACTGCCAAGACAAGGAAGATGTAAAGTACCGGTAAGCCACGAGCCACGTGGCAAAGTAAAGATTAATAGAAATGAGCTGAATATAAGAGTAAGAGCTAGACAATGATAGGCCTGAGCTAATGGCCAAGCAGTTTAAATAATGTAAGAGTCTGTGTGTTTATTTTATAAGTGGGCTCCGGGACTGGAGGGACTTGGTGGGAGCTGGAGAGAAATTCTCCAGTTACACAAGGCTCAGGGAGCATCGCAGAAGAGGAGCAGGAAGAGTATTGGGTAAGGAGGAAAGCAGTGAACTGTCCACTTGTAGACATTACATGGGTGATGCACACATCGGTTCCCGGCAGCTGTGGTTACCTGTACAAGATCAAGCCAGACAAAATTCCAGCAGACCAGGAAGAGGCCCTGAGGCTCCACTCTTGGTGGAGGAGCTGTGGGCAGCTGCTGCTCCTGAGGAAAAGACTAACTCTCCTCTGGGGAACTCGGCTACTGGTAAGTTGACCATGCCCATGTCCCCCACTCACGTGCATCTGGGCAGCATTAATTGGCTTGGGTTATAGTGACGACACAAAATAAACATGAAGCAGGGAGAAAGACAGGATGAAAGGCACTAGGGAGAGCTGGAGGAAGATAGTGATGGATGGATAAGATCAAAACACGTCGTATAAATGAATAAAAATTGCTAAGAATATATATATTCTTATTATATATATAATGATTCATAGGGTTAAGGAGATTGCTAACTGGCTGAAGTCTTTGCCACGCAAGCATGAGGAACGGAGTTCAGATTCCCCAGCCCCCATAGTTGCCAGGTAACATGTTGACTCACCAAGCTGACTGGCTGTACTAGCCGAACTGGTGAGCTCCAAGCTCAGCCTCAGTATCTATGAAGAGCAATCCAGAAAGACGTCCGACTTCAACCTCTGGGCTTTCACAGGAATGTGAACATGTGCACTTGCACCTGCACACGCATGCAAGCTCACACAGACAGGAACATTCCCACACACATGCCATACCCACATGACAAAAAATACACCTTTGCAAAGCAAGCAGGTGAGTTAAATTTTCAGGGAGGGGTAGCACCAAAATGGTCTTATCTCGGGCAAAGACAGGATTTAAGTAAGTTGCAAACAGTACAAAACAAGTAGAAAAAAATCTGCAAAAAACAGAAGAAATGCAGACTTCACACAGATTCATCAGTGCTAGAAGAAAATAATTTTACTTTTGGCTGCAACTGAAAAGCCCGGGTAGAGGTGCACAGGGAGATTCCTAGAACATGGTTCTCAACTGCAGAGGGAGGAACGGGGAGTCTGGGGACTCAGGGTAGCCTCAGTGTGATGCTCTCCCCCTCCCAACTCACTGAAGTTGGAAATTCCCATCACAGCATGGCAGACATCACTGAAATAAACCAGAAATAGAAGCCAACACCGAGAACCAGTCAGTTCATGAGAGAAAATCCATTTTGGGTGATTTAGGGCAAGGAAAACTGCTAACAGTTTTTATATTTCTTTTCCTAACATTATCATTAAATCAATGTACTGCACTTAGATATTTGAACATTATGGTCAGTATCATTAAACACATAGCCACTGTTACTTAGGAAAAATAAACAAACATTCATATGCCCACCTCCTGTTCTTTTGTTGAAACAGGGTTCTCTACATAGCTCAGGCTGGCATGGGACACATTGTATTCTAGAGAGCCTCCTGCCCCAAGTTTCTGAATGTTGGGATTATAGGTATACCCCACAGCCTCAGCCTTTTGTTTTTTTTAAAGTTGTACATTCAATTTGGAATGATGGATAGTAGAAAAGAAATTATCACATTTTTCTGAAAGCCAGAAAAAATTTATTATAAGTTATACATAAAGCAATGTAGTTCTTCTGGGAAGATGATCCACATTTATGATGTACTAAACAATAACAAAAACAAAACCTTCAACAGCAATGACAAGGGTAACAATGTATTACTAAAAAGTTTAACAAGGTCAATCAAATATAAAACTTAAATTTTCTTACAGTCAAAGTTTTATTCACAGGAAATTCATAGGTTAGATGCTTTGTGAAAAACCTATTTGAAAAGGTAAAATATTAAAAATAATTGTTCTTTTCCTTGTTTCCATTAATACAGGATATCTCTGCAGGTTTTATCTAAAGAAAATGTCACAACTTGAAAGGAGGATCCACGTAGGGGAAAGGGAAGGAGGGATGAGTCACTGAGGGCACGCTCCAATTCATCCTCTCTAGGACATGTGGGCAGAGAGCGCGAACCAGCCTTCTTCATGGTGCTTTTCGGTCTGCAGGACAGAGACACGGACAGGAGTTAGACTCGAACCCACTGGAGTCACAGACGTGTCCAGCACATTCAGCGAAGTCACCATGTGCCTTAGGTGGCACTGGAGTGTCACCTCTCCTGGCAAAGCTTCTGCCCCATCGAGATACCACCAAGCAGCAGGCTGCCTGCTCAGCAGGCGTCCTAAAAACAGCCTTACCTTTCAAAAGGCGAAATCCAACATTTATTCAAACCATAGCTACAATTTTAAACACGATGAAAAGAAGGTTGTTGGAGCTTAGTAAATTAAATGATACTAAGTTCCATGAACTGTAACTATATCAAAAGATAACTTTAAGCTTCTCAGAATTTAAGAATAAGAAAGGACAAATTTTTAATTCTAGGCAACTGGGGTAGCTAACTAAGGCAGTTACTTCGTTTGGGCTGTGTGTCTCCACTCTGTGATCTAATGACTTTCCCATATCTGTTACTGGCTTATCTCTGGAAAAAACAATTTTTACAATTCTAAAGATATTCTTACAATTTTCTATGATAAACACAGAGAAACTGTATTTTTTCTATATTATCAACACACATATAAATGCCTTCTGTGAAAAAAATCTGAATAAACTGTAAATGTTTAGCTTCCAGACAGTTCTGGAGCAAACCAGAACATATGAAAATGTACAAGGCATTCATTTACCCTCTGTGTTGTTACCTGCCTAACAGAGGCCCTCAGACACGGCACACTGGGATAAAGAACCAGCCACAGGTCTCTGGCTATCCCAAGCTCTACCCAGTCCCACCAACAATAGCAGGACCAATACCTCATACCTATGAGCCCATCAAGACCATGGCCCTTGGGAAGCAGGCCTGATACCAGTAATTCCTAGCCTTGGAAGACACTTGGAATCCTATCAAATTTTAACTTATTTCTTAATTACCCTAGAAGACAAAATAAATGTATTGCTTTTCAAATAGAGACAAATTATAGTATTTCTTTTCTCCGTGGAATTTTCTAGCATGTTAAAGACAACAGGAATAATAACTAAGAATGGAAGATAGTCACCTCCACCCTCACACTCTTGACACTACACATTGATCATATTTTATAACGTACCTTTGTTCTTGGATTAACAGGTGTGAATCGCCCACTTCCTGAGGTGGCATTTAGCGGAGAACAAGAATTACTAGTAGCCCCTGAAGATCTATCCATGAGAAATAAACAGAGAGTGAGGTATTACCACTAGCCATAAACAATTAAGGGGACAGTTCTCAATACTGACAAGAGCTTGAAAAGGTTTGGTGACAGGTCCAAATGAGGTCAAACACTCGTAACACTCCATCGGCCTAAAACTTAAAACTAGCAGTTCACCACTTAGAGTAGTTTAGCTTTACAGACGGAGTGAAGTACAGTGCTCTTGTGTACCTCACCTCCATCTCTAACAGTTTCTTCTATTACTAACATCTTTAACTGACTTGTGCACACTGCACATTCCATACTTGGGTTAATGCAGATATATGTTACCTTTAAAAGTTTGTGTGTTCAGAAAAGAAAAGGACCAGACACCAATAAAGACAAGTAGCCCAGGTGACCCAGCCTCTCAGAATGCCTCTGTTGCAGTTTCCTCTAAAGTCTACATCCAGAACAACTTCAAAGCTGCTAGTTGAGATGGTCCAGCCTCACAGACTATCCAGCCAAGACTTCAGGTAAGCTCTACACTTTCCCATCACACAGAGACTAAACAAAAAATAATACAGCTGGCTCTCCCAGGACTTGACCATTATCTCAATTTTCTCAGAGTCCCCTAAAGATGTCACTGCCCAAGAGAGCAGGAAGCAGTCTAGAGAACACGACACCCACATTCCCAAGAGGTGGGGTGGGTGGTTTGTGGTCATTCAATGGATTATGGATGTTTATCATCATTAGGGGGATTGTTTGCAAACTGTTATTGCAACTAAGGTAAGGGAGGAAACTAAGCAAGGTAAGTTGGATTCAAGGATCTCATTCTGAAAAGAAAAAGGGGGATATAGAAAGGATGGGATAAAAGGGTAGTTTATTGAATCTACTTTAAACTAAAAAGCAATTATTAATCTCAAATATTTTACATTGGCATAGATTTTTGCACATTGATAATGAAGTATTTTCTCTGAATTTGCCAAATACAAATGGGTTGGGTATTATAAATGTAATTCTTACTTGGTAATTGTACTTATTGTATATAGTCTTACTATGTTAAACCAAAACCTTTCTTTTTATTTAGACAAGAAGGGGGAAATGTGGAACATTTAATTATGCCAAGATGTGTTGCCTTTGTTTAATTATGTAAAGATGCGTTGCATGTGTTTATGTTGAGGAATATTTATCTAACTATGTAAAGATGTCTTGCTGTTTTACCTTGCCTGCCTAAGGCACTTGACTGGTCTAATAAAAAGCTGAACAGCAATAGCAAGGAAGGAGGCACAGGCAGAACTTCCAGGCAGGGAGAGTTAGTTAGGAGGAGGAGGACTTTAGGCTCGGGAGTGGGGAAGAAAAAAAGAGACACCAGGGAGATGATGCTAGGGGCCAGACAGACATGGAGGTAGCAGGAAAGCAGGACATACAGAATGAAAGAAAGGTTAAAAAAAAAGCCCCCAAGGCAAAACATAGATGAACAGAAACAGGTTAAATTAAGTTAAAAGAGCTTGTGGGACAAGCCAAAGGTAAGGCCGAGCATTCATAATTAATAGTAAGTCTCCGTGTCTTTATTAGGGAGCTGGTTGGCAGGCCAAAGAAAATTCCAACTACATGTGTGGTACAACATGAGGATGCTGGGTGGAGACAGAAAAGCCTGGGAACTCCCTCCTGACCCACTTACCTCATGTGTCTCATCTAGGCCAATCAGTTTTGTGTTCTGTGGGAGCCCAAATCACTCAAGGTCAGAGAATCTGAGCTGCTTTACCCAGCAGGGCTGCATAAGGAGATGATTTGGCCACAGGCGTGGTTACCAGGTGTTTGGAAGGGTCTACACTTGGCTGTACAGTGTGCTTTGATCTTGCAACGGGGGAGGTCTTTTGCCTCTCCCCTTGGTAGGTTATAAAAAGCCCTTTTAATAAAGGATGAGGCTGGTGGGTATTGACCCAGGCTCTCCCGAAGCTATCCCGTATTTCTGTCTTTCTTCTTGTTGGCGAGGTCTCTCTATCTATCATTTCTGAATTCCTCTCTCCTCCACCTAAGAACCTTTCAAAAGGTGAGAGGCGGACCCCCCCAGTGTGGACTTACTGCAACGGTGAAAGTGCTACTAGTCAGTGTGTCTACCCTGGGATACAGCTTCTCCTAATTTTGCAGCCAGAAATACATAAAGATTAGCCCACTTTTGTTCTAAGCAGGCACCCCTACTTGGTTAAGTTGCTTCCTTTCTCTGAATGAGTGAGTGTGCCTGAACTTGTTAGACAGACGCTGGGCACAGAGAGGACGCACGCAGACACTGCTGATGCTGTAAGGAACAGCAGCCCTGCAACCCTACCTTCTAGAACTGATCACACTGACAGGAGACACGGCGTTGCATTTCGAACTCTCTGGAGCCTCCACTCCTGGAACAGACACCTCTATGGTTCGCTTTCCTTCCTCTAAAATACAAAAGCAAGTGTTTGTGTCATTACTTTTCACTAATAAAAGCAACAACTTTGCTCAATTTCAATACTATTGGAAATTATAGATTACAAATTTAGGTGTTTTTATATCAGAATGGTTCATAGAAAACGCTTGAGAGATGATTTTTAAAAGTGAACTGTTAAGACAAGAAACTTCACTGTTCGTTTGGCAGCACTCCAGTTCATGGAATGCCAGAATCTTCTGACAAGTAACAACAGAGCAGGAAGTGAAAAACAGTGAGACCAAGGTATACTGGGGAGCAGGAGGGTGGGTGGAGGGAAGGAATGAATGGGGTGAACATGATTAAGATGCATATATTTATGAAACCGTCAAAGAATAAAAAAACATTAAATTTAAAAACTTAAAAGCTAGCTCAAAAGTTTGATTTTTCAATGTGATTAAATTAAGTAGGATTTCATTTCCCCTTATAGCCAGGAAATATCTGATTTTTAAGGAGGATTTACAGGATCCTCTATGAATAGAACAGATATAAAGTATTTCACTACTAAATGTTTGTCAACTGTTTGCCTACTTATGAAACCCTGAGGTTTCACATAATTAGACTTTGCTCTGGCCCTATGAGAATCCATGCCTGGTACTATAAATCTGATCAAAGTCCCATGGCTGGGAAGGTCCCAGGCAATGAAGAGAAGAGACTTACTACTGTTGTCTGGCTCAGCTGTTAAGTCAAGCTGCCTGTAAATACCTATATTTACACACAGAGAGAGATGCTACTCTCCTCCTATTCAGAGCAGCTTGGCTCTGCGGTGAGTGATGGTGAGTGCAGACTCTTAGCTGCTCACAGTGCTGAGAATAAGAGCTGGCAGTACTCAGCTCTCAAGAGGACAGTTACACCCCTCCTCTAAGGCTCGGAATACCATGGAAAGGGGGCAGAACGACTATACCAGAAGGAAGACAGGGAGCAGGGTTGTCCTCTGACATCATGAGCTCACAGGAGCTGGGGCTGCCTGTACTGGGCCTGCACAAGGGTGGACTTGTCAAGAGTCTGCCATGGAGTGGGAAGGGGCTCGTGGAGCCGTACTCCTCCCTGTTGAACGACTAGCTAATGCTGGATCCTGGGGGTGGGGTTGGGGGTTCACTACCTTTAGTTACGTACAGTATCCCAGGCCCTGTGGGACAGTTTCACATCCATGGCCATTCAGACCATCCTTAAAATCAGTGGGTCACAAAAACAGGGAAAGGGACCCGTAGGCAGGGGCTGACGGATGTGACGGAGAAGGGAGTGGAGGATGAGGCAGACCGAATGTATTATATATGTGTATGTTTTCTTGTTTGTAATTTTAAAACTAAATCATTTCCAGCGGAAGTGAAAACTCTTCCTGGTGCCTTTCAGGTACCCGCCTTCACCCAGCCACACAGGACACAAGGATCCCTGTAAGCACCAAGGCTCGAGCATCCCAGGGACACCACTGACAGAGTCCTTCGGTCCCTCACAATCCGGGCCTTAGACGGGGCTCCATCAATACCTCAGATGTAGCGCCATCCTTGAGGGCGCAAATTCATTTCTGGCTAAAGTCAACTTAGAGCCACTTCGTTTAACCAACACTCTTTGAACAGCACTGCCACAGACCACATTTTTCAGTCACAATTAAGTTATTTAGGAGGCCCCTCTAGTTTTTCATGCTCCTAAACGTAACAAAATAATGGAAAACATTAAACTGAGGAGAAATGTTTTTCTGGTTTTAAGAGAACAATAATTTGTAATCTGATGCTAGTAAAATGTGTAGTCTAATTTTGACATTTATACTTTTTTGCAGCATATATCCTAAGTGAGACATACACTATAATGCATATTTCACTTGGATGGTGTCGCCCTGGATGCCAAAGACTGCCTATAGAACAAGACAGCTTTCTACCACTATTTCTGTCTCTCCGACCCATGCCGTTTCTTCTGGTACAAAGTTGGGGGTACTGGAACATAGTATGACTCCATATGAACTCTCAAAATTGAGAGGGAAAAGTGTTTCTATCTGGAAGTCAGGAATCTGTGACCCACCGGCCCAGGCTCTGAGAGGGGAAAACATTTCTCTCTGGAAGTCAGGAATCTGTGACCCACTGGCCCAGGCTCTGAGAGGGAAAAACGTTTCCATCTGGAAGTCAGGAATCTGTGACCCACCGGCCCAGGCTCTGAGAGGCGACTGAACAGGTGACACGGGCGAAGAGGAAAGGTTCAAACCAACGAGCTTCTGCTGCTCTATGAGCTGGAGCAGTTTGCTGCGAGCCTCCATGCTCTGCCGGTTCAACTCCGCAATCCGTTCCTCCATGCTACTTGGCACTAGAGATTGAACTACTGGGAAATTCTTCAGGGGGAAAAAAGACATAAATTCATTATTAAAAAAAACCACACAGTTCTGATTTTTATTCAAAGTACCAGCAATTCGGTATTCATAGCCTTGCTATAAACACATACGAATGATGGAGTAAAATAGTTTATAAATCAAAATAAAGGCACACACACACACACACATTCTTCTACTGCTGCTGCCGTATGAGCACAGTCTAATGGGACAAGGCTTCCCTGAATCTCTTCCTACTTGCCTCAGCCGAACTAGCAAGAAAAGATAACACGAGGAAAGCTGTCTGCCAGTGAGCCAAATGCCGCACTCCTACTGATGATAGGTCTGAGCCGGGGCAGACTACACAGGAATATCTCTCAATTTGAAAAGGATGTTTTTATAATTTCAGTCTTCAAACATGCTTCATGAATTTGGCAAAATTATCTGGCAAAGACTCTAAAAATCCTCCCAGTCCTGCCCACGTGACAGCCCCTCCAGGCTGCTTCTAGCCTTGGAGATCTGATGTAAGAAGATCCGTGAGTAGAAGGAGCCTAAGGTACAGAGAAAAGTCAAACAGTACAAAAGAAAAGGTTACTCCAGGGATATAATGTAAGTTTAGTTTGAAAGCCCCAAGAGAAATGTACTTTCATCGTTCATAATAATTTCATTTAGCTAAATACATCCTTTTGTGGGGAAAAACCAATCCCTGATAGAAATGACTAATTTGAAACTAATACCTACTAGGTTATGGGGGTTTTGCTTGTTTGTTTTTTGGAAAAAGGTAAGTAAACCAGTGAGGATCAAAGTCCATTTTGTATTTCCAATTAAAAAAAAAAAAAAGGGCTAGTAAGGGCAGCAGTATTAGACTTCCCTTTCCAGGGTAGTATATGTACTATTTAGAAAGGGCATAGGCTCAGCATTTAACTGTTGTTACCTTTTTAAAAGCAACAGTGGTCTGTTTCAAATGATCTTCAAAACTGCACAAGCATCTAAGGCACTGTGCATGCTGCCGCCTGCCTGGGACACTCGCTCCTTCCTGGCTTGCCCTCTTGAGCCAGTGATAACAGAGGCAGCTCCTCCCACCCCGCACTGTCCACACCAAAGCCTTCAATCAGGATCTCAAAGCCTTTAGGAAGGCAGCTACCTCAGAACCCCCTAGTCCTGAGGCTGCCCACTGCTTCAGACAGCAAGAGCCGTTACCACCCACTGTCAGATCCAGAGCAGTCACCTGTGCTCAAAAAGGGTCAAATAAAATATCCCCACGACCAGGATGTGTCATGGACACTCCGCCTGGGACTTAGATTCGCTTTTCTCTCCACAAACAATGAATAAAGGTTTAAGTTATCAGATTAGTCTACAGAGTTTATTTTACTTAAAAAATTTCTCTTGACAGGGAGACAAATCCACATGATCTTACTCATGTAGAGAATTTACAAAAGCTGATCTCATAGAAGCTGAGAGTCGATTAGTGGTTATTGGAGCTAGGGGAAGAGTAAGAAGGGGATGGAAGCTTGCTAAGAACAGTTAGACAGTGTTGACTGGATTGTCTTGTTGCTGTTCTTAAGACAGATCTCATACCATAGCCCAGAACTCACTAAAGTAGCCCTGGCTGTTTTCAAACCCACGGCAACCCTGCCTCAGTCTCTTGAGGATTACAAGCGTTGAACCCCATGCTTGGTACTACAGTTACACAGGAAAAAAAAAAAAATCGCACTCTACAGTAAATAAGAACAGTGCTCCTCAGAATGTGACCAGACCAGCAGTCCTGGCATCACTGAGGGACTACTAGAAAGGCACCAGGTCCCACCCAGACCTACTCATGCACCACATTCTAGCAAGCTCCTCAGATGGTTCACGTGCACATTAAAGTTTAACTGATTCTTTAAATATAATTTCTATAGGAAAACCCATTCTGTGTCCTAGAAAAAAGTTATTTATCAGTTAAGGGCCAACTACTTTTTCATAGGCCACATGAAGAGTAAAGTTACTTTCAATTAAAATCTAGCTGTGCAGCAAGCATTCTATGTCCTCCTCATTCCGTATCATTCATTTCTGGCTTATCCTTAGCCGCCTACACATCCTACCTTAACTCTACTTACTGCAGTCATACGTTTTTTCTTTCATGTTGTCTTATTTAGTGCAATACGAACTAACAGATAAGTTTTATCTCTCTTGTGAGGAAGACATATCAAAGCTATAGTCACTTCTGGAAAGAAATCTCTTCGGATGCCTGTTACAGCCTGAATATGCAACGCACCACCAGCTCACACACGGGGGCCTGCTTGCCAGCTGGTGGGTTTTAATGAATGGATTAAACCTCTGAAGGAGCCATAGTATTATGGGAGGTGATGAAAAGGAGAAGGTAGGGCTCAGCTGGACTAATTTGGTCACCTGGGACATATCTTAAAGAGATGTGCCTTGTCCTCTGACCCTCTGGGCCACCATGAGATAGTAGCCTCTGCCATGTGTTCCTGCCACCATGATACTCTGTCTAACTTCAAGTCCAGAGCAATAGATTCTGCCACCTGGAGTAAACCCTCTGAAACCATGAGCGAAAACTGTCCCTCGTCCCTCTGCTTAATCCGTCCCAGCAGTGAGAGGTCTAACAGTGTCCAGTTCCTGCCTTGTCCTTAGTCTTTGCTGGTACTTACAGCAGGCAGGTCACCGGCACTTCCCTGTTTGCTTGGCTCCCGAAGTCCATCCCCTTGCTCTCCCACCGACACCGACTGGGTAATATTACTCAGGTGTGCCTTGATGGCCGAATTCTGCAGTGTCAACTCAGCAATCCGTGCCATTATGTCCTTCCTCTGGGCCAGTGCCTCGTTTGTTCTAAGCTGCTGCCCATCTCCGAGCACTGGGGGCTCTTCTGAGAACACAGGACTTCTCGACTGCTGAGTGGTGGGAAGGGAACTGCAAGGGGGCTGGGACAGGTTAACAAACGGTGCCTGAGTTTTGTTCTCTAGATCTTCCCCCATGTGAGAAACTCTCCACCTCTGAGTGAAGAGGCGATTTTCCTCACTTGAGTTCTGAATGTCTGGATCAACAGGCAAGGTCTTCTTTTCCCAGGTCTGTCCTTTCTCTATGACTTCCACAGTGGGGGGGATTCGTGGAGCAGGGCGGGTCTGGACCGTTCTCCTCAATACTGCGGACGAGAATTGAAGACAGTCGTAAGCATCCTATTCTCCATAAACTGGTACCAAAATCAGCGCGTCAGTCTGTCATGGTAGTCAGGGAAATACTTCAGTAGACGGGTTTGGCTTCTGAGTGCCTAAGTTATTTTCGTAAAGGAGTATGTATAATCAAGTCCAGAAACTTTCACATCCCTGAGACCATACACTTTGACACATATAACTCCTATCCAGGAATAGTGATGCATGCCTGTAGTCACAAATGAGGAGGAATGATCTTGAGTTTGAGGCCAGCCTGAGCTACACAGTGAGACACTAGGTGGAGTGGGGGAGGAAAAAACCTCAATAATTACTATAAGAAATAAAAATCTAATCTGAACAGAAATCATAGCTCAAAGCATACTTCCTTATTCTAGACATAATTAAAAACTTCTCAGGCCCCCGAGAAAGAAATATTAAACTATGTAATTAGCATTAAAGTAAAAAAATTCTCATATGCTAGAATAAGGAAGCTGGGGTCCAGAAGAGGAAACTTAGTCCAAACTTGCCCCGAGTCAACGAGGAGTGATCAAGCCACCAGCACCCGACTCTCAGCCCAGCGCTGTCTCCATTATTATTATTATTATTATTATTATTATTATTATTATTATTATTTTATTACAAACAGCAAGGCACAAATCCAGTAGCAAGGATTTGCCATGTTCTTCAACCTCTGGACCCTCTTCAGTTCCTTTACCAAAAACACATCAAAGTACAGACAATCTGTGAAACTCTGAGTCCCAACACTAAAAGTTAGGTTCTACTGCTCTGCAAGAAAATATTAGTAACTTTTAAAGAAATAAAAATCCATGTAAAATAGGGATGGAAAAGTATCTCCCAAAAAGGAGCTGGGAAGCTGTCTCAGCAGTCAGAGTCCCATGCACACAGGCTGCAGTTCCATTCTCAGACTGCACAGGAGATAACAACTCCCCAAAGCTGTCCTCTGACCACCACATACAAGCCATGGCATCCATGTCTACACACACACACATTCTCTCTCTCTCTCTCTCTCTCCCTCTCTCTTCCTCTCCCTCTCAAAATTAGTTAATACAATTTACAAAGGAGGTGGACAGTGATGAAGGAATATACTTAATATTGTTGATTGTTGGCCTCCACACAGGCACACATGGGTGAGTGAAGTGTCCAATACACACAAAATAAACAAAGAAAAATAATTAAAAATATTTTTTCAAGGACCAGTAACACACAGCTCAGTGGGTAAAAGCACTTGCCACCAAGCCTGATGACCGGAATGTGACATGCAGGACCCACACGGTGGAAGGCAAGACTCCACGACCACAAGTGTCCTCTGCGTGCCAGGGTACACACGTGTATACACGTACATAGTTGGTCACCAGCCGCATGCCTTTGAAGAGTGTATTTTTCCCACATCCTCCTTCTCATTCTGTCTCTGGGATATCATGAAGTGAGCGGTTTTCCTCTGCTGTGTCTTGTTCTACCGCTGCTCAGAAAGAACAGAGCTAGCTGACCATGGACCACTGAACCCGTGAATGAAAGTAAGTTATCCAGTGATTTTCACAGTGATGAGGGAAGGAGGGGGACAGGGACACATATGACACAGACAATACTACCCTAAAATACAAGTGTGTGCGTGCATGCGTGTGTGTGTGTGTGTGTGTGTGTGTGTGTGTGTGTGTGTGTGTATTCAACACATTATATATACACACACACATATATAATAATACATCATATGAATGAAGGGTAAAACTCACAGCTTCCATGGAAATGTAGAAGAGCCATGCTTACCATCCTGCAGAGGAGAGAACTCCGAGTTGCTCTTCTGCCTGGGTGGTGTTAACATCACAGCTGGCTCGAAAATATGTTCTGGGAAATTACTGGCCAGATTCAAGTTCTCTGTGGGGGTCGGGCCCTGAGAGAGTTTAACAGGCAACTCCTCCTGTGGGAACTCAACGGCTTCTTCCCCTCTGAACATCAATGGCATGGAGACATTACTGCTTACAACAGGACCCTCTGAGAAAGGTAAGAGGATGTTAATTTCAAAGGAACAAAAAGGATTTATGAGCATCTTTTAGGTATTTAGTCTATTTTAAAATTTTTATCTATTTGTTTTTTGTTTACATATACGTGTGTGTGTGTGTGTGTGTGTGTGTGTGTGTGTGTGTGTGTGTGTGTGTGTGTCTATTCAAATGTACACCATATGCTTTCAGGAGCTCACAGAGGCCAGAAGAGGGCTTCAGATCTCCCTGGAATTGGAGTTACAGGCAGTTATGAGCCACCACAGGGGTGCTGGGAACTGAACCTGGGTCTTCTGCAAAAGCAGTAAGTGCTCTTAACCACTAAGCCATCTCTCCAGCCTCCAGATATTTATTTTTAAATGCATTTAAGTAGTGTGAAAGTTCCTAGAATCCTCAGTCTCTCAGGTATATCCTCCTTTGCCAATAATTCATAGGCAGGCTCTTGTTTTGTGTAGGAAGAGCTCTGAGCTATATAAAGAAAGCCACTTACCACCCCTACCCTCACCTTCCTAATGGTCATGACAAATAAGGCAAGAACGAAACTTTTTAATAAACTGACTTCCATAAACAAGGGTCATTGTAAAACCAGGTAACTTGGTAGGTCATCGTTAACAGTGTGGTGCATTCCATGCTATTCTAACAGAGTTAACATAGGAAGATGTGAACCAGGTTTCACCTACATGCCATTTATGACTTTCCCACAGGCAAAGATGAGATTTCAAAAGAACCTTATAACCCCTGAATTTCTCACCCTTCAGTAACTAAAGGTTTCTCAGAAGCAAAGCTTAACTCGCCAACATTATATTAATGAAATAATAATAGCAAAGCCCACAAGAAGACAGTGACCATGTATAAGTTATATTTTAGTCTGCCACTTCTTCAAATCCATCAGCTCTAGCTTCTCTGTTATTTAATGACAGTCTGGGAATAATAAGAATCCACCTACCTACATTATCCATAAGTCTTCTACCCAGAGTTGCCCTTTCTGATGCTTGACTTTCTTGTCTGGAGTTACTTATCACAGGACAGTTCTTAATGGTATGTGTGAGCGATATAAGCTGCTCGTCTGTAGAGACCATGTACTGCTGAAGTCTCGCCTACAGAAAAGCACACATCACTGGTATAAGAGACATCAAACCATTATCTAACAAGTAAGCCGTCCGGAGATGGGAGTGTGTGTGTGTGTGTGTGTGTGTGTGTGTGTGTGTGTGTGTGTGTGTGTGTGTGAGAGAGAGAGAGAGAGAGAGAGAGAGAGAGAGAGAGAGATCATTATTTTAAATACTCACTCTAAAGCCATGTTATTCATAGTTACAAATACTCTAAAGGTATCATGATGGTAAAATGATTAAATAAATCACAAACTACTAGTTACTAAGTACTCTGCTATAAAACTCTTTTTTTTAATAGAGCTTTTAATTTAACAAAATCTTTTCATATAGATTATCTCCACTGACTAACTACAAGAGTGATACATTAGGTAGGGGAAACTCAATAGAGCATTCCATGGGCATTTAAGTGAATAAACTAAAGACATACAGTATATAGATGAAATAGTGTTATGGGCAAAAGTACAGCATTTTATATGTAGTATTATTACAATTTTATATTTTATCTTTATGGGAGCAATAACTATATTTTATGTATACTCAGATTTGTCTACACACGTGTATATATCTACTAATATTATATAATTTTAAAATTTTAAATAAATAAAATATCACACCAATGATTTACTTTCTGTCATATAGCTGGACATGTTTAGAATTCCATTCTTACATTAAAAGTCAGCTTATTGTCCAGAAGTTTAAATGGATTTGTTTTTTCTTTATCTTTTCCATACTGTAAATAGATATAAATAGGTCACGTGAAATCAATAAATCTGATTAAAACCACAAAATGCAGGTGTTTTGTAAATACTGACACATGGTTCTTAGAAGCATAGGCGATGGCAGGCAAAAAGGAAGAAGGAGGAGTTGTATGGACTGCCGAGACCTTGTCACAAAGACAAAGTAGGAGAAAGCAGGGATGACAGTTAGTGGCACATCCTAGGTGCTTAGAAACACAGACAACTAATAAAAGTGGGTGTGGTCCAGACATCAGAAATATTAGCAATAGTGTAGAAGAATAAAGCATGAGACAACTTTCTGTCACCAGCCATGTTCTCCCCAAATTTCACACTCATATATTCAGTGGTCTTTTGAGTACTCCCATCTAGGACTCCTCTTGAAGCTGTCTACAGCATAAACAGCAGCTCATCTTTTCAATGCCTAATCCTACACTGCCCAGTTACCTTTGGTTCTTGTTCTCTCACATCCTGTCCTTCACTCCATTTCCAACGGGACTGGTTGACCTTCAGAACACACTCTGAATTTGCTCAATCTTCACTGTTTCCCATTTCAACTCTAGACCAGGCTGCTCTGCCCCATCTGAATCAACCTAACAACTCCAAGATGCATGTTCTGTTTTGTCAGCCTGCTGCCCTCCCTACTTCTGCCCTCAAACTGCAGTGTGAGACAGCAGTGATTTCACAGGGGCACCAGAGGGCAGCTTCAGCTCTCAGGAAACACCAGTAAAGATGCCATCTATGCAGAATTAGTCTATGCAACCATTAACTGGCAGCAGCTCAGAGATGGAAAATGGGATTTCATTGTATTATTTTTGATAGTATCAAATCTGCTTAGCCAAGCATGGCAGCACACACCTGCAATTCTAGTACATAAGAAGCTGAGACAGGAGAATCACAAGGTCAGGGCCACATTACGCCACATAGTGAGACCCACTTTCAAATAATAACAAGAAAGCCAACCCCAAAATAATCAAATCTGCTCTGGCTGGGTTTCTGGAAGCAGCTATGTTAAAAATATAAGTTCTGGGTAGAAACACACTGTGGAATAAGAAATGAGGATAATGATGTCCAATATAACTCTAAGCTTATGATAGTTGTACAGTGTCAGAAAGGTATACATATCTCACTGATAAATAATTGTAGTCATTTATGAACAAAATAAATGTATGACTTCATTTCTACTTATATAGTAAGTATTTATTAGCACTAAGTGTATTATTGTTAAAATCATTCCCACAGTTGTTAGACCTGAGTCAAGAGACACGAGGTTACCCAACAAAGGCAGCACTCCCTGCTGTAGTCACACACGGCAGGCACAGTGAGTGGAGTCTTAGTCTGGTGTAGTCCTTAGCACAGTGCATGCAGCACAGGAGCCCAGATGAGCCTCCAAAGACTTCAGACACATCACGACTCTTCTCATTTCATTTGCCGACTTCCTTAACCGGCATGCAGAGCCCTATGCGAGGCACTTATGCAATCTTATCTCTGACTGCTCTCTTTCCACTTCACTTCCTCCACACTGTGTCCCTAAGGACTGTGAAGCCCCAGTTACACGTCCATCTCAAGACCTGTGCTCTTACTTCTCCTGTCTATACTGCTCTTCGAGCAATCTACAAGTATTAGTTACCCACAACGACAAAAAGATGAGTAAAACATTCTGTGCTCTCAAGCAGCATAAAGTCTGTGATGACGACTGACATAGAAATGACGTAAGCAAGTAACTTCAATGACACAACATCCAAATGCATCAGAAGTGTGCAGAGGAGGACTGTTCAGGGGGCTAGGGAGATGGCTCAGTCAGTAAAGTGCTTGCCACACACACATGAGGACCTGAGTTCAAATCCTCAGCACCCATGTAAAATGCCAGGCATGGCAGCATATGCTTATGACCTCAGTGCTGGGGGCACAGAGGTGGGGGGATTCTTGGAGCTCACTGGCCAGTCTCCATCTTCACTGAGAAACCTAACTCAAAAGCTAAGGTAAAGAGGGACTGAGGATGACCCCAACATCAACCTCTGTGCTCCACACACACTTGCAGACACACATGAACGTATCATCACATAACACACACACACACACACACACACACACACACCCCTTAAAGAAGTTTGCAAGCTGTCAGTTTTCTAGAAAAGATATTGTATGCCTTTTTGTGGAGCAATTAGTCAAGCAGCAAGTCAAATACGAAGTTGCTGAAAACAGTCATGGTAGCATCTGATGTCACTGCAGGAGGGCTGAAAGGCTAGGCTATCTTTTGTTCTAAAATGACAGCTGGCTACCAGAATGCTCCTTCACATTTCGTATAAATGGCCACAGTGTTGGTAGCTATTTAAATGTAGATTCTGTTATCTCCACTCCATGGCATGTTTCTTAGAAACAGCAAACTTATCCTATATATTATGTGCAATTTAAGTTTAGAATACAGGATCCCAGCATAACAAATGTCATTAACACCCACTCCTGCTGCTGAGCCTGACAGGTAATGGCACCAGCACAGCTAAGCCATCCACAGCTCCAGAAGAAACCTGCATGCATACAGACATGCTCCATTACTAAACATGGAGCCTTTAGAAAATCACATGAATACTTGCATGGTACTATGTTCTTCTCCAAGAACCCTGCATGTACATAAAGACATACTTTGTATTAGGATAGGCCCACAGGGTCAAGGAAATTGCCAAACCAGTTGCCAAGGCATGCACATAACATACTTCCTTATGAGCCAACCTGGAGTCTGCCTGAGGGCCTAGCAACAGGTGCTGTCAGAGTTCCTGATCGTGCCCAGCCAATGAGGGATGACCACATAATGCCACCAGCCTGGGTGCTGGGAGGAATAACCGAGTCTGCTGTTTGCCTTCAACTGACTCCTGGTGTTTGTGTTGTTGACACTGTGCCTTCTCACCCCCTCCCCCAAGGCAGCCATTAGGATCCAGCAACATCGCTTCACTACTAAACATGGATCCTTTGGGAGAGCATGTGAATACCTGCATGGTCCTATGTTCTCTAAGAACCCTGCATGTATATAAAGACAAGCTCCACTACTAAACATGGCTCATTGGGAGAGCATGTGAATACCTGTGTGGTCCTATATTCTCTAAGAACCCTGCATACATACAGACATGCTCCACTACTAAACATGGCTCATTGGGAGAGCATGTGAATACCTGTGTGGTACTATTTTCTTCTCTAAGGAGAAGAATTTCTGCGGTCAGAGCATCGATGAGCTCTCGGTGATCACCTAACATCTGTTCCAGATGCTGCCTTGTCTCTACTTCTTTCCGCAGTTGAATCTCACTCTACAAAACACAAAAACAAAAATAAACTCCCATCAGGAGGATCACATACTGGAAACTGCATTTCTACAAAGAGAAGCATGAACCATGACAATGATGAGACTTGAAACTTCATTAGAAGGCTATATTTAATTAATAAAAATGCACCTTTTTGTCCTCGTCCCATCTTTAAGAAGATGTAATGCTTTTTATAAATGGTATACATAATCAAAGAACTACATTTTTTTCATTTAAAAAGTGAAGGGCTGTGCATAAATACTGTTTGAATACCCAGACCATCTCTAAAAAGGCATACTGTTTCTGGTCATAACGGTAGGCTACAAGGAAACAAACCGGTTAGTTACAAGTTAGGAATGAAAATTAGTGCTTCTGTATCTTTGAATATCATGCTGTGTGATATACTGCCAATCAAAAATTCATTGTTAAATGTAACTTAAAACAAGTACATTCAACTACACTGACTAGTTCTACTACTAAGTGTCATGGCTTTGAAAGTAAGAGGACAGCTAAAAGGCACAGGTCACTAGCCCTGCACTGTCTTCTCAGCACTGGCATGCTCTTCAGGACTACAGGCTGAAGGGGAAAGAATGCTGAGAGCTGGGAGGATAACAGGAGTGGGAGGGAGACCAGAGAGGATGGGGGTGACAGACATCAGAATGGACCATGTCTGAGCAACATACCAAAGCTACAGTTAACAGTGGAATCTAAACCAAAACACCCTCAGAGTAATACTTGCAACTAGCATATGATATTACTTTATTTATAGCAGATTTTTCTTACTAGTCACTTTTTTGTAAAGCTTACAGTAACATCAGAATTATTTAGCTAAGTAGGTGTGTCAAATGATAGAGGGGGACTACAAGCATAAATTTTACTGCAAATAAACTAAAATTGAGTAAAATAAAGCGATTCAAATTTCACTGTGCTTATTTGGAGGTTGCAATAAATTAAGCAAGGAGAAAACAATCCACATATATTCATGCCTGAGGGGAAGATCCACGTAACCTTGTATTCTTACCTCTTTAAGGTACCGCACCAGGCGGCAGAGGGAGCTCACCAGTGACAGAGTGAAGCCTGTGAGTCCCTGGCCACCCTGCAGCCCCTTGACCTCACGCCCCGTCCACCGCTCATACTCTTCCATTTCATGTTCCACTTCATGGATCATGTGTTTCAGGATATCCAAGCTCGAGTTGTTGCTACTTGGTAAGTCTGTGGAGGTTGTGCTGGAGGATAACATGTTTTTCTTCTGCTTAGAAGGAGCACGGATATCTGGTTTTCTTTTCGCTGAGAACGACAAAAATCATTCTATTTCAAAACCAGGAAAACCACAACTACTAAATTATCAAGAAAATGTTTAATTTTTCACCATTCAAGAGTTAGAAGTTACCATAGTTTTTAATAATAAAAACCTACAACATTGAAACAAAGTTTACATTATCTATAACTAACATATTCTCTCTCTCACATGATGTGGGACAAAAAGGATTTCTCAGCTCTCCCTCAGCAAACTCATACTTAAACATATTCAATTGGATGGACTTCGGGGGAAACCCAATTACTGTGACTAACACAGCTATGACAGATGTGTGTCTACACTTCATCTTTGTGAAGTGAGACGATGTGCACCTTTACTTGGCTGCTGCTTCTGCTTCCTTGAGTTCAGCACTTGTCCTACCACATAGCTGGAGTCTGCAGTCTCAGCGGACTCCTCGGGCTGAAGCCCAGCCTGGAGTCTCTTGATGGCATCGGTCGCATTCAGAGCATCTGCAAAGGACGAACAGAGCAGAATGCATTTCAAGGGAGCGAGCTTTCTCTAAAAACATTGGCACTAACGATCCATCAGGGTTTAGTCAATGCACAAAGACCCCAAAAGTTAAGTAGCATTTGAAAATTACTGTGTTCAAAACCAACAAACAAAACCTAGGAAAGTTTGCTACTAGAAATACTAGAAAAGCGCAACTAGCCTTTCTGTTCCTCCGCTGAGAGCACCAGGGACGGGGTTCCTGGAGGGGTCCCCTGTGACTGGGTAGCTAGTTTCTGCTGAATATCAGTCCACAATTGATTGATTAATTCAGAATTCTCTTCCTTTAGTTGGTGAAGAAACCTGGAAGTTACAGGACAATTAGGATTAATAGGTGCTATCATTTAAACTGTTTGACTGTTTTATGTGCTCAATTTGAAAGTTTTTATCAAATCACAACGAAAGAAACAATTTTATTGACTTTAGCTGACAAGACAATCTTGTGATGATGAGAAATGTACCCCATAGGCTTACACGTTCGAACACTTTGGCCCCGGTGGTGCTGTTTGGGAAGGTTTTGGAACCTTTAGGAGTGGTAGCCTTGCTGGAGGAGGTCTGTCACTGGGGGTGAGGCTTAGTGAAGCTTTTATAGCCGGCCCCACTCCTTCCTCTCACTTTCCGCTTCCAGACGGCCAGTGCCATGTGACAGGCTGCCCCCTCCTGTCACCACGCCTTCCTGCCGAAATAGACTGTATCTTCTCTGCAACTTTAAGCCAAAATTCTTTCTTCCTTAGGCTGCTTTTGTCTGGGGATTTTATCATAGCAACAGAACAAAGCTAACCCAGACAGGTAGGAAGCCAAAAGGCCCCTCATCTAAGGGAAGAAATCCATCCATCTACCTTCCGGTTTCTACGTCCCATGGTCCCTTACACAGGAGTGCTTGCTTTGGAGTTCTGTCATATAGCCTCCCTTCTTTCTTCCTCTAGAGTAATTATGCACACGGTTCTGCACCATGCGGTTTCTCTCCCCTTCAAGAGGGCCAGTCTACACGGCAGACAGTCTGCTCATATTGAAGTAAACGCTTCGTAGAGATGGGGCAGGAGTCAGAAGAGGAGCGTAGGGACTTAGCCCTTTCAGGACAGACCTCAGCCCTTTCCACAAACATTCTTGTCACGGACAATGCTGGTATTTTATTTCTCACCTGAACTGAGACTTAAGAAGTGGGAAGATAGAAAACAGAAACAAATTCTACCGGCTAATGAATGAATGTGTAAAATGTGGTGCAGTCATTCTATGGATACTACTCAGCCAGAGAAGGGAATGAAACATTGCTCTATACCGCAACATGAAAGACACCAGACACAAAAGACGGTACACTGCACGATCTGTATGTGACATGTATAAACAGGCAAATCTACAGCGCAGAAAATATAACAGTGGTTATCCAGTGCTGAAAGGATTGGGAGGAAATGTGCTTTCTTTCTGAAGTGATAAAAATATCTTAAGATTGATTGCAGTGATGACCAAATAACTGTTAATGTATTAAAAAAATACTGAATAATTATAAATGAACAGGTTATGTATCTATGAACTATAAATCAACTGTTACAAAATTAAAGAGGAAGTAGATAATCTAATTAAGCCACTCCATAAATCTCAATTTCAAGCAAACTATAAGTAGCACATTAGAATACCATTCGTTAAAAGTGTATCTAGCAAGAAGAGCCATGATATAAGCCTTACAAAGGGGACGAGCAACAAGAAAAAGCCCTCTGTAATACAACACCAGCTTTAAGCTCAACCTTTAGGCTAAATCTCAAGAAGAATGCTCAACACGTTGGACAAATAAACACCACAATCTCACACTTGCATTACCATTTCTAACGTTCATGCTTCCAAGAGTCAGTCTACATAGTAACCACAAAAAAAAAAAAAAAAAAAAAAAAAAAATTGCAGGATCATCAGGGTAGGCTAAAAGCTGGCCTGCCAAAGACACCCACAACCCAATCCCTAGAGTCTATGAATGCTATCTTACCACACTAAAAAAGGGGACTCTGGGGGTTGGGGATTTAGCTCAGTGGTAGAGCGCTTGCTTAGCAAGCGCAAGGCCCTGGGTTCGGTCCTCAGCTCTGAAAAAAAAAAGGGGGGGGGGGGGGGACTCTGCAGATGTGGTCAAGTCAAAGATCATGAAACCGGGACATTTCCTAGATTACTGAGGAGTGCCCTAACTGTAAAACGCGGGCATCCATCGAGAGTCGGATCCACAGGGTGAAGACAAAGGCAGACTGGAGTGACGTAGCCCCAAGTCAGGGACTGCCAACAGCCACCAAAGGGAAAAAGGGAAGCAATAGCTTCTCTACTGGGGCTCTCCCAGGGGGCGGAATGGTCCTAAACACACTTGATTTCTTTTCTTTTTTTTGGTTTTTTGAGACAGGGTTTCTCTGGGTAGCTTTGGAGCCTGTCCTGCAACTCACTTTATAGACCAGGCTGGCCTTGAATTTACAGAGATCCGCCCGCCTCTGCCTCCCGAGTGTTGGGATTAAAGGCGTGCACCACCGCCACCCAGCTGATTTCAGCCTACCGAAACAGATTTCAGATTTCAAACCTCCAGACACAATGAATTATATTGTCTTAGGCTGTCAAGTGTTTGTTAATTTGTTACAGCATCGTCAGAAAACTAATACAGACTATGGACTTGAGTAGAGTGCTAGTGTAGACATAGCATGGAAGTAGTGGCTTGTGGTAAGCCTAGAAGAATTTTTAGGTGAATGACAGAAGTAGCCCACATTGTCTCAAATGAATTACTGGTAGAAATGTGGATGTTAGTAATTCCTCCAATGAAGATACATGTGAGGTGCATTATAGAGAAACCCCGGACTGACTTAGAGAATTCCTATATTGTAAATAGAAAGTTGGCAGACATATGACTGTCAATGGAGCTTCCAAAGTTGCAAAGGATATAAAAAAACATGCTGTTAGTAACTGGAGACCAGCTAATGCTTGGGGTGGTGAAATCTTAGTGCAGCTGTGTACAAAGGAGAACGTTGTAAGTGATGAATCAAGGAGTCTCACTGAGGACATGCAAAGCAAAGTGCTAAGGATACAACGTAAGGAAGAGAAAAGCTGAGGGCAGCCTGTCAAGCAAACAGAACTCAGGCTTCAACTTCAGCTCAGTGGCAGAGTGCTCGCCTAGTATGCTTGAGGCTCCAAGTTCAATCCCTAGCCCTGAAAAGAAGAATCAGGAATTAGAACTTGGAATTCTGAGATATGCTTGGACCTGCAGATCTCAAAAGATGTTCAAATTAGCAGAACAGCTGCTTAGAAAGCAAGCTAGTTCTGAAGGGCAAGATACAATTTCTGGATTGCCTCAGGGATCCCAGCAGAAGCCAGGGTGAAAAAAGATTATCCAACAAAGATCTATGAGGACCTCTTGCCTATCACGTAAAACACGGCCATCTACAAGAGCTCTTGAGAATGTTTTAACAGCAGAAATATCACCAGCTTGGATTGATAGGATGGAGTAAAGAATTGGTGCCAGACCCCTAAAATTCTACAGAGAGGAAAAAGCTGATAAAGCTACTCAGCTATAAACATGAGCTGTCTATCCTTAGGCAAAAGGATGAATGACCCCAAGACCAGAGCTACAGATATACATGTTAAATCCACAGGCACAGAGCCAAGGGGAAACTCAGAAACACTGGGCAGAGCTATGGACCCTGAGGATGAAGACTCAGGCCAGAGATGATTATTTCCAGGCCATGAAACCTAATGGAATTTGTCAGTCTGGATTTCAGTGTCGCTTGTAATTACTGAGTACATTCTTCTTTGCATTATTTTTCCTCCTTTAGAATGGGAATGTCAGCCGGGCGGTGGTGGCGCACGCCTTTAATCCCAGCACTCGGGAGGCAGAGCCAGGAGGATCTCTGTGAGTTCAAGGCCAGCCTGGGCTACCAAGTGAGTTCCAGGAAAGGCGCAAAGCTACACAGAGAAACCCTGTCTCGAAAAACCAAAAATAAAAAAATAAAATAAAATAAAATGGGAATGTCTATAACTCTTCTCCCTGACATGTTCCATCACTGTATTCTGAAAGCAGATCACTTGTTTTCTAATTTCATAGAACTACATAGGAAAAAGAATTCCGTGGTGGCATGGACCATATCCAGAGTCTTCCCATACTTTATTTAATGATGGGATTAGGGACTTCTTCACTAGAACTGACAGAAGGGTATGCTCTTAGACCAGGAAGTGCTCAACCATATCCACAAAATCCATACATACAGTAGTGACATTACAAACAAAATGTAAATTCAAATGGTTCAGCTAATGAAGAACCCTCTCTGATAACACCAAGGAGGAAGTCAGAATAAAGCTGCAACAACACACAAGATGGAAATAAACATACATGAGCATGTGGAGACACTACATGTGTGTGTGCACATTGAACTGTACATATCTATTTCACAGCAGAAGTTAAAAAACAAAAAAGCAGGACATGGTAGCTGTGCATGCTGGTAATCCCAGCCCTTGGGAAGCTAAGACAAAAGAATCACAGACTGGAGACCCATCTGGGCTATAGGGTAAAACTGTGTCTCAAAAACTAAGGGCTAGAAACAGAGCTCAGTAGTAGAGCACTTGAGCATACGCAAGTCCTGTTCAAATCTCAGCACAATAAACAAAGTTTAAAATACTTCTGACAGCAAAATGGTGTGTGTGTGTGCGTACGCACCCATGCATGTGTGTACACATTCTCTGGGTAAGAAATTCTAAAAAATCATTTTTATTTTATGTATGTATTATTTATCTATCTATTTATTTATTTATTGGTTTTTGAAGACAAAGTTTCTTTGGTAGCCTTGGCTGTCCTAGAACTAGCTCTGTAGACCAGTCTGGTCTGGAACTCGTTGAGATCCACTTGCCTCTGCCTCCTGAGTGCTGGGATTAAAGGCAGTATGCCACCACACCTGGCCTAAAAATGAAATCTTTAAATGGAAAAATACCAGGAAAAAATGATTTATTGAATGCCGTAAAGAAATTCTTTAAAGAAAATCTACCTGAGGAATAAGGACTAACACTAGGTGTCCAATGACAGCTTAATTTCATGAGGAGCATGAGGAACTTAAGGAAAGCATCCAAGAACGGAAGTGAGATTAGGGAGACAACAAACGTGAACGGGAGAGAAGACAGTCCTCCATGTCTGCACTAATCACTGACAGAGAAGCAGGACATCAACAGAACAGCCAGCACCGGCAATGGGGACAGGGGAAGACAGACCTACAACCTACAGGGACAACTGTGCAGGATAAAGGGAAACTGTCCTGGACCCTCAACTATGAGACACATCTCAGCAACACTTGAGTCTAAAGGCAGAAAAATAAATGCTGAAGGTGAAGGTAACTGAGTGGTTAGACAAAAACACCAAATTTTCTACAAAAGCAAGAAAATTACTATAGCGTTAGACTTCAGAAAAGCAACATGCAAGGTTACCCAAGAGTGAAGAGCATTGCCAAAAACCCAGCAGTACTTCACATACAAAAGCTACAGAAAAATGTCTCCATATTATGCAGAGAATGAGAGATCTTAGAAACTCAAACCTAACCAGGATGTCTCCACCCAATCCCTCCCCTAGGGGATCAGGGAACCTGTAAAAGAGGAGGTGGGAAGAGTGTAAGAGTCAGAGGAGACGGAGGGCACTAAGGAAACAAGACCCTCTAAATCCACACGAGCAAAGTTCATATGAACTCACAGACCGGGGCAGCATGCACAGGGCCTGCATGGGTCGGCACCAGGGCCTCTGCACACATAGTATGGCTTCCAGTTCAGTGTTTTTAAGGGATTTTTTGAGTGTGGGAACAAGTGGGTCTCTGATTCTTGTACCTTCTCTTGGGTTCTTTTCTTTCTGTTTGCTTTGTCCAATTCAGATGTGTCAGCTTTTTAAAATCTTTAGTGTATATTTTATATTTAAATTATATGTAAAACATTATATATAATATAGTATACCATAATTTATAATAATTTTATTATTATCTCTTAGAAGATATAAGAGAAGCCTGTTTGTTTTCTAATGAGAGACAGACAGAGTGGATCCAGTTGGGAGGGGAGGTTAGGAGAAACTGGGAGGAATAGAGGAGAAGAATCCGTAATCAAGATGTATTCTGTGAGGGAAAAAAAAAGTCTATTTTCAATAAAAGGGGGAAAAAACAAAAATGTCTAAAGAATTCAAAGAACGTTCTATTCACAGGCTCAATAGCATGGGCGTTAACTAAGCAAGATTCAACTACAAAACAATCAAGGAAACAAGAAAGGACTGGATGAGCATTTAATAATTATTTCATGGCTGTAAGATAAAGAAATCATGGTATACAGGAAAGCAGTGTGTATGTTCTGTCAATTCAAAACTAAGGATGCAACTACAACATGGGGAGAAACGCAGAACACATCAGTTGAACCGTCAACGTGCAAAGGAAAATCAAGAAAGCTCTGGCTAACAGCAAAGATTAAGAACAAGACTAATAGCCCTATAACAAGGTCCATACACAAAGGTAGCCATCACACCAGAACTACAATCTTCCTAAACACTTAGACTTTTTAAAGGACAACCATGAATATATAGAAAAAGACACAGTGTGCAAGCCTGCAATCCTGCACGCAGGAGGCTAGGCTGAAGCTGACAGTTTGAGGCCAGCCTGAGGTTCAGTGAGACCAAATCAACAACAAAAAGGAAAATGGTTAACTACAGTGCAAGGCACAGTATGATTAGTGAATATGGCAAATCCGACAGCCAACACACCAACTGTATCAACCGGTATTGGAGCTTACTTCACTAATTAGAACTTTCATACTCACTCTCCACGCAATACAAGGAATACAAGTAATATAAAATAACTGCAAAAGGCTAAATTAAATATAAGAGACTATATGTAAAAAGCAAAGATACTGCAGACAATCAGAAACAAGAAGTAGAGGTTTTATTCCTGATCTCAGACAAAACAGATTGGACCAAAAGGCATTTAATATGGCAATAGAGATTATGAGGCTAAAAGCCATTGACCAAAATAAAGATACAGCATTTATAGATAAACATGTTCTGTAAGTATAGCAGTCACCTTCACAAAAAAGGATGTATTAAACTTCGATTAAGTATATTCAAACAAGAAATATGAAGAAAAACAGAAGTACACTAAAACTAGGAGTCTTTAATACATCACTTTTGGTATATAATATGGCAAAATTAACCTAAGAGACACAAGAAATACAACATAGTCAGCAAGGTAGGTGTTATGATGTACACACAGAACGTTATACCTTCCAATAGAATCACAGGCACTTCTCAAGCACGTACATGGAATACTCACAGAAATGTGATCATAGACAGCTCATAAAGAAAGCATCACCAAGTTCCACAAGGAGAAAGATGACAGGCCACAGCCTGAACACAGTGTGGTTAAACTAGAAATGACAGGGGGGTCTGCAGTTTTGCTTTGTTTTATCTTTAATTATATATGTACAGGCAACGCTCAGTGAAAGGCAGAAAAATAAACTGAAATGACCTCATTTCTTAAATAATCCATTTATTTTTGTCAACTGAAAAAAAAATATACCACAATCCTAAGTCAAGCAGCAACCAAAGAAAGCACAAAGGTAAAAGGAAAAAGTGAGGCAGGAGAAAGAGAACTATTAGCTCAGGTAATAAACCAGGAGCCCAATTCTTTGAAAAATGAAGAAACTGGACTATTAACCAATCTTAAGAGAGGACAACCAAAAGAAATGATGGGGGGATCTGGAGCAGGAGCCCACATGCCCTTCCAAAACAAGCATATTTTATAAGATAAAGGACACAAGAGGCACCTGCTACTTCACTATTATTTTTCACAGCCCTTTAAGTAATCTACTGAAGGGAGAAGGTATAAGACACAGGAAAGAAAAACTGTCCTTTGGAGATGACATGTTAAACCCAGAAGCTAGAGAACTGCTTCCAAACCTCACTTAACCAAGTGACACAGCTGGACCCTGAGGTAAGAAGCAGAACTCACGAATGATGACAGGCTGGAGGGTACAGGGAAGGGTGGTTACCCACCTCCCACAAAGTCCCCAATTCCCCAACCACACAGGGAAAAAACAAGATATAATAGGAGAAAAAAAAAAAAAACTCTACTTAAAAGAAACAAAAGGATAAACTGAGCAAGAAATATTTTCCTACATAGGAAAAATTAAAACATTCCTCAAAAACAAACAAACAAACAAACCACACTTATTAACTAAGGGGAAACACTGTCCTAACACAAAATATCAGTGAGCTTTGTTTTATGAAGTTAAATAAGTTGATACTATTTTTCATATAAAAATAAATTAAAATAATTGAGAACACCCTAATTTTTTTTTTTTCTTTTTGGTTTTTTGAGACACGGATTACTTCAGAGAAGATGATGGGCATCGAAGAAACTCCACATGGAGTTTACTTTCTTTGTGGCAAGTTAGCCACTGGGCAAGAAAGTGCCCTTGCCTCCACTGCTGACAGTCTGCTGTCCAAATGGACAAGCAGGACACAAAGGAAAGTGATCGCCGATCCTTGCCAAGACAAAGTAGGACAGCCCTTCAGAAAACCCCGCTTCACAGATGAGTCTGTCAGATATGTTAGGCCTGAAGGCCGAAGATGGATGCCCCTAAATTACAGAGGAAACTTAGATGACTGTACAGGCAGCCAGCTGTTTCTGTCATTTCTCACATTTTTAGGAAGTCGCTTGCCTGCACTTCCTGTTTACTTAGGTAATATTATTTCCTTCTTGGGTCTCTGATGGAGTTGAAGACTGGACAGTTATAGTTTTCCTTGTTAACAAATTCAGAAAAGAAACTCACTAAAGAGATATAAAGTGTATAAGTTTAAAAGACATCAAAAGATAGTATTGGGTTGGTAAGACAAGTTAGGATAGAAAGTGAATTAGGTACAACATTTTGGACTCACCAAAGCAGGATAAATAATGAAGTATTTTCTCTGAATTTGTCAAATGTTAATGGACTGGACATTATTAATGTAATTCTTGACTGTATATATTGTATATAGTTATTGTACTTATTGTATATAGTTTTTCTTATATTAGTTATAACCTTCTATTATTTCAGACAAAAAAGGGAGAAATAGCCGGGCGGTGGTGGCGCACGCCTTTAATCCCAGCACTCGGGAGGCAGAGCCAGGCGGATCTCTGTGAGTTCGAGGCCAGCCTGGGCTACCAAGTGAGTTCCAGGAAAGGCGCAAAGCTACACAGAGAAACCCTGTCTCGAAAAACCAAAAAAAAAAAAAAAAAAAAAAAAAAAAAAAAAGGGAGAAATATGGTGATATTTGCAATCGAAGAAATAAAGCTTGCCTAAAGATCAGAGGACAGAGCCAGCCATAGAGTTAGCCACAGAGATCAGGCAGTGGTGGCCACACAGGGCTACATGAGATTAATCTAGTCTGAAAAAGAAACAGAGCCAGGCAGTGGTGGCACACACCTTTAATCCCAACACTAGGAAGGCTGAAACAGGAAATGATATGGTTGGGCAGAGAAAGGAATATAAGGTAGGAAGAGACAGGAACTTGCTTTCTCAGGCTGAGGAGTTGGTGAGGTAAGAGGTGGTGGCTGTGGCTTGCTCTGCTTCTCCCATCTTTCAGCTTTCACCCTGATATCTGGCTCCCAGTCTTTTAAGACCAATTAGGATTTGTGCAACAGTGAAACAAGATAAAATGAGATATATATCTATATATCTGCTTGTATTTATAGAAAGGAGTAAAGGAGGAATAAAGAGCTTTTTACACTCCTACAACTTTTAAAAAACAGTCGGAGCCGGGCGGTGGTGGTGCACGCCTTTAATCCCAGCACTCGGGAGGCAGAGCCAGGCGGATCTCTGTGAGTTCGAGGCCAGCCTGGACTACCAAGTGAGTTCCAGGAAAGGCGCAAAGCTACACAGAGAAACCCTGTCTCGAAAGACCAAAAAAAAAAAAAAAACAAAAAAACAAAACCGTCAGGAGGTGGTAGCGCACACCTTTAATCCCAGTACTTGGGAAGCAGATGTAGGCAGATCTCTGAGAGTTCAAGGCCAGCCTGGTCTACAGAGTGAGTTCCAAAACAGTTAGGACTACATAGAGAGAGCCTATCTCAAAAAGCCAACAACAATAATACATCCTGGCATGCTTGGAGTGACTTTTCATGGCATGGTCAGCTTCCTCTGTGACGGTCAAATGTCAGGTTCTTGCCACAGACACATACCTCTCTGTGTTCCTGTTAGACTGTGAGCTGAGGGAGGTGGGCAGTTCACTCTCGCTGTCTTCTGACTGGCTGTGAACAGTGCTCTCTTCTCCTTCACCATCTACTTCATTAAGAGCCTAGCTCAAAATAAAACCGGCAGCACAACCTGATTAGATGCTCACTCATCCTTTCTTCCTGTCACAACAGAAATTTCTCCTCCTAAGGCTAGCCCCTTCCTACGTGTGCCAAACACCGAAACTTCTCAACTCTTCCTCTACTGTCCTTCTAACATCTTTAGAGCCCCCTGCTCCCTTTAGCTGTCAGTATTTAAATGTAAGAAAACCTTTCCCCCTTACACTAAACCTGTGCCCATCCTGAGACACCATCTCTTATTCATCTTTTGTTTTTGTTTAGCCCAGGCTAACTCAATATGTTACGTACCTGAGGCTGGCCACAAATCACAATTGCTTCTGTCTCAGTTTTCTAGTGCTAGTACTGCACACTTGAGCAACCACACTGGCCCCACCAAACTCTTTAAAGAATCATTTCCCACTTTGTACCCACCATCTATGCTCTGCAATTTGGCTTCCATCCTGCCACTCCACCCCAATGCTTTCTACAAGGTCAATGTCTGCTCGCTGATTCCTGAACAGACAATTCCGTCTTTCCCTTTCCTTCACTGACTCATGACATCACAAGCTCCCTTCCTCCACAGTCAGTAAGGACTGTGTGTGCATGAGGAATTTATCCAACACCCCCACCACACACACAATAAAGGGCCAGGCATGGCAGCACATGCTTTTTTTTTTTTTTTTTTTTTTTTTGGTTTTTCGAGACAGGGTTTCTCTGTGTAGCTTTGCGCCTTTCCTGGAACTCGCTTTGGAGACCAGGCTGGCCTCGAACTCACAGAGATCCGCCTGGCTCTGCCTCCCGAGTGCTAGGATTAAAGGCGTGCGCCACCACCGCCCGGCTAGCACATGCTTTTAATCTCAGCACTGTGAAGGCAGACAGGGAGATCCCCGGGCTCCTTGCCATCCAGTCCAGGCAAAGTTGGTGAATTCCAGACCAATGAAAGGTGGACAGTATTCCTCAGGATGACACTAAGGTTGTCCTAAAACTTCCACATACACACACACACACACACACACACACACACACATCATATACTCAATTATACACTCATCCTTCAACTTCCTATCATATCTTCTTGGATGGTCTTTTCTTTTTCTAGCTCATCTTTCCCAATCCTCTTTTCAGTTTATTTTTTTCCCACTATCTCTTTATAGCCGACAAGACAATGGTTGACATTTAAAATGTTTACCAGGATTCCTATATCAAAGCTGAACTTCATTTTAGCATGGGCACTTGGTTCTGAATGCAATGCATTACCTGAGGTTCTATGAGAGATTCATTAAGGGCAGACTGGGTGCCAGGGTCTTGATTTACTCCAATGGGACTCTGAGAGGAATCTGGAGCCATGGTTACATTTGGAAACCCTGCCGAAGGAACACAAGTCACTATGATTTCTTTCATCTGCTTATCAGGCTCCCCAAGTTCTACACTGCCACAGGCTCCCTCACTTCAGGGAAATCTCAAACAGCAGCTCCACTTACATGTTATGTATATGGACCAACCATATCTAAACTCATTTTTACCTTCACAAAATTCCATGATATATAGTCTATTATTTTACAGCTCAGTAAACTGAAACTTGGAAGAATTAAGTAACTAGCCCAGAGTCACTCTAATAAATGGCTGACCTGAGATTCAAATTTCCTACTAAAAATAAATCACATGTTTCTGAAAGATTAAACAAGTTATAAGCAGATTATGATTAATAACGCTGAAGGTGAGAATGGTGGTCATGTCTAAAATGCCAGCACTCAGGAGTTAAGAAGCAGGAAGATCAGGAGTTCAAGGCCAGTCTTGGCTACATGAACCCTGGGGGTTGGGGGCAGGGATAATCCTACGTAACTAAATATAAGCAAAGTTTCTTTTAGCAAGAAACTGAAGTTGCTTTAGATTTTAAGTTAAGCTTATTCAAACTGCATGCAAATGCACATAGTTTAATTATGTGGAGATTTAATAAACTGAAAATTAAGCCACATTTTATAGTTACAAAATACTGTATTTTACTCCATATGTTGGTAGATAATTCCCTTAGGTAAATAATTTGTAATACTTCATACTCCTAATAAAGAGCAAACAAATTACGACTCCTAGCCCTAATAATCTTCGTATACCAGCCAGCTAGAACATGTGGCAGAAACACGATTCCTGAAACAGACCGATTCCCCTAATCAGTGGTTTTAAGAAGGAAGAGCAGGTTTTGTGTGGATTGAACACTTACCTGTACGCCTACGAGGAACATCAGCAAACAGACCTTTGGCTGCAGCCATCAAATTATCAGACTTCTCCAGCACATCCTGCATCTGGTACTGATCAGAAAGAATCTACACACATTAAGAAAAAATACTGTTCAGAGAAACATACATTTACACGACGTTTTCAAAGCTTAAATAGCAACCTTTATTGGTTGTGGTTGCTAGATTTGCTCTCAACCATGGCCATGACTATCCTAAAACCCTCCAATGGCAATACCCTTAGATAACTGTCGATGGGGCTATTACAGTAATCGGTAGCTTCAAAGAAAATATATTGTATTGATTGTGACCTGGTATACACATGGTACACAAACACTCACACATATACACTCACACATGCACATATACACTCACACACGTACACTCATGTCACACAGCACACTTTTTTTAACTTTTATTCTTTGTGTCTTTCACATCATGCATCTCAATCCCATCAATTTCTCCATCCCTTTGTATCCGACCTCTGCCCTTGAAACACCTCTCCAAAAAAATAAAATAAAATTTAAGGAGAAAATCTTGTCATGGAATCTGTAGTGTGACAGTAGGTCACACAGTAAACCCTTTTGTCCATATATCTTTACTTGCAAGTGTTCACTGCAGAGTCATTGGTCTGGTTTGAGGACTCTAGTTTCTGCTATACTGTCAATGCTAGGCCCTCACTGGGACTCCTCTTGGACATCCTATTGTTGCCCTGTGTCATTAAGATCCTGCAGCTTTGGGTCTGCAGGATCAATCCCTTCATGTGCTCCAGCATTTCATAGATGGGGTGGATATTGGGGTGGGTCAACATACATAACCCTAGTTCTGGGCCTGGGTAGTTGCAGAGTTGGTCAGCTGGCTAGCTCTCCCCCATACTCACCACCAGGGCGAGCTCTCCAGCATTGCCCTGGCTAGTTCATCCCTTGCAGCAAGGGGAGGGGCCAGTTCTCCTGCTTTCACAACCTCAGGGTCAGCTCTCCCACACCTGGACCATCAGGGCCTGCTCTACTGTGCTGCCCAGGTGAGGTGAGGGGCCACTCTCCCGAGTGCTGCAGCCGGTGAGAAGCAGTGACAGCTCTCCCACTCTTATGACCACAGGGCTAGTCTTCCCACCTGCCATAGGCAGCAGAGGAAGGGGGAGCTCTCCCCCTTCCACATCACCATATGGCAGATGAGGGATGGGGCCAGATCTTCTGAAAATAGGGTCAGCTCTGCTGTGCTGCTCAGGCAAGGTGCAGGGCCCGCTTTCCCAAGTGCTGCAGCTGGTGAGGGAGAGGATCAGCTCCCTCACTCACGACAAGTGGCAGGGTCATGGGGGGGTATCTTTCCCTTGTCCTCACCACCACATGGCAGATGAGAGGGATGTGACCAGCTATCCCACTTTCACACCCTCAGGGCCAGCTCACCCTCACCTCTGTCAACAGAGTCAGCTCTACTGTGCTGCCCAGTTGAGGAGCAAGGCCTGCTTTCCTGAATGCTGCAGCTGGAAAGGGGGAGGATTGGCTCCCTTGTCTGTTGCAAGCAGCAGGGGAGGGGGACATCTCTCCCAAACCACTGAGTAACAGATGAGTAGTAGGGACAGCTCTCCCATACTCACAACTTTGGGGTTGGCTCACCCACACCTCCACCAACAAGGTCGGCTCTACTGTGTTGCCCAGGCAAGGTGCAGGGCCTGCTCTCCCGAGATGCACACACTTTTTAAAGTAAGACTTTTACATAGGATTTCCACATGAGAATGACTTTATTTTTTATTCCATTCTAGTTTTAAGTGATGGCTGTAGCCCACTTACTTGATTTCATAACCCAGTAGTAAATAATAATATACATTTTAAAAAACAGATTAAAGATAAGAATCTTTGAGCCATAAACTCAAAGGTGTTCCCATCACTGAAGTATTCTGATAATCCACTAACAGGTTGTGCATGGTCTGTGACCTAAAAAAACAAGGTATAGGTTTCAGGATTAAATAAAAAACGTTATGCTTAGGCATTTATAAACAAGTTGGGTTTTTATCATGGACAGGTGGTTACACAAAAGCACCATTACAGTTGTGCCTCTGATTATGTACTTTCTATTGAAGGATTTTAATATATACATAAGCAAAGCCATAGGCTAAAGATGGGTCAATTCTATCTACCACCACCAGATGGCATTCTTAAACCACAAAGAATGTTCAAATCAAGACAACTCCATTTCCAGCACTGACTCAAATCAATAAAGCATCTAATAACAAACACTCTGCCTAGAACTTCTCTATAACATGGAAATGATGACATCAATTACTATTTTAAGATACAAAGAGAAAAGTGAGTCACATTCTTATGTTATCCTCTCTGCTATGGCCAAGTGGGTCAGCTAGGTCAGTTACTGAGAGTAAGTCCTGAATTGGGTCCTCCCAGAGCAAACCTTAGAACTTCGTAAGGCCAAAAGCACACATGATGCAGAATACTGGGCTCCAGGTCCACACCAGAAATAGAAAACAAACTCCAATCTCTTTAAACTTAGTTTCCTACTGTGTCAATGGTACAGCATGGGTTTTTACTTGAGATCTCATTATAATTAACACCGGGCATCAACGTGGTTATTTTGGGTTGTGAGTCTAGCTTTTAATGGCTGAGCCATCTCTCCAGCTCCAGTGGCTGTTAATAAGATCATTCCTCCACTTTCTGTCAGCTCCATGTCTTTCTTCTGACAGAGAACAATGCCTTAAAAATAAAAAGTCATAAACTCTTCAAATTACCACTAGGAAATAAGCTGTGTGATTTTTTCTAGCATGGTGACAATCATACTGTCCCACTGTATCATTTTTATGCCTATGGTCCTATCACATCCCTTAAATATAGACACCATAAACACAGAAAAACTTAGTAACTGAAACCAATGATGCATATACTCTTTGACTCTTACTTTTTCTTTTCTTTTTACCCCAATATTTGGGATTAAACCCCAAAACATCCTAAGGAAGCGCTCTAACACTGAGCTAAAGCCCAGCCTTGACTCAACATTTCTTTCAATAATTCATCAACAAACAAGCCTACACCCCAAAACATACTCAATATTTACTGCATTATTTATAGTGACAAGGTAAGAAGCAAATTGTGAGTGGCTTACACTACTATTTACCCCCAACATTGCCCTTTAATAGCAGAACTCCTAAGTTTTAGTCAAGGATGCAGCTAATTTCCCACCTCTCTTTGAATATGGGGATGGCCATGCAATAATGTTCTGGGGAACAAGACGTCCTGCCAAAATCTCTGGCTGGTTTAAAAAGAGTAGCAGACACTATTCCCACTTGCTCGCAACACAGCTGACGGACGCTGCAACAGCCATCCTGTACTAAGTCATGTGCTGAAGACCTGTAGGGCCCTCTACCGCTGAGCTCTTCCACAGAACAAATCTGTGTTTTAAAATACTGTATTTTGAGTCCTGTTCTTCCCAGAAGCTTAAACTGCACTCTAATAGACATGTGTCCACACATAAAACAATCAATAAATAAATTATGGCAAATCTATACCCAGCCTAGATTTTTTTTAAAAGGTAAATTTATTTCTATGTATTGACTTCTGAAATATACTGGTGCATCAACAGAGATCTAGGCACCTCCTCGACCCTACAGGGGTGGCAGGAGGGTGTGTATACACTTAAAACCTGCATACACTAGCAGTGTTTGGAATGTTACTACGATACAAATTATCTTATGAACCAAATTTCCATCTTTGGTGAACTGTCTTCCAAGTCCACACAATTAAGAGCTTGGGAAGTAGAACTTACATTAGCTACCCGACATAATGGACCAGCACAGCTATGCTACAGCAGGCACTGGCACAGGCAGAACGTACAGGGATAATCCTACGAATCACATTGATACTCAAGTGAAGCTACTGCTTTGCCCTCTTCTGCTAACTCTCTGTCACATTTCATGGAGTAGCTTGTTCGTGTGGCCAGCGACCACTGTACTCAGCTTTACTCAGTGAGCTCTGTTATCAAAAGGAAACCTCTAAGTCTCATCAAAAGCCATGGTTCTGAAGCCCGGCAGTACCGGAAAAAAGCCTGGGAAACTGAGGAACCTGTCCACACCGAGCTTCACTAAATCTGAATGTTTGAGCACTGAGTGCAGGTACAGCGCCTACCACCCTCCTTAGGAGCATGTCAGCCACAGTGAATTCTCACGTGCAGTCAGGACCGAGAACCACCACACTACAGGTGGAGGAAGCCAGAGTTCAGAGACCCTGTACCGGTCCTCTCCTGACTCTTCTCTCTCCCGCTTCTACTATGAACAGCCAGGAGGGCTGGAGAGACGGGCTAAGAGTGCTCATGGCTCTTGTTGAGAGACCAGGCTGGAGTCCCAGCACTCACATGGTGACCCACAACTCTTTGTGACTCAGTTCTGGGGGATCTGACCCTCTTCTGACCTCCACTGGCACCAGACACACATGCATATATGCAGGCAAACACTCATAGACAAAAAAAAAAATCTTCAAAAAAGAAAAAAGAAAAGGAAATTAAAACTAGAGAAAGAAAACCAAAGCCCCGAGTCAGACCCTTTCCCCACCAAAGAGGTTGGCTGGTTTTCTAGGTCAGATCTGTGGTTTGGGGCCTTTCAAGGAGAACTGGCACATACCAAATATGTGACTGGTCCAAGGTGACAACGTGTAAAGTCACATTCTCTGAAGTCACTGTTCAAGTCATGGAAACATGTATTTGGGAGATGCTGTTCTTCCTGATGCATAAGATTTCTCAGAGCCAGTGTTCTCAACCCTTCTAAATCTGTGGTCCTTTAACATGTCATGACCTCAACCATACAATTATTCTCATTGCTACTTCATAACTGTAATTTTGTTGCTGTTATAAATTACGAGTATCTGTGTTTTGTGACGGTCTTAGGTGACCCCTGTGAAAGGGTCATTTGACCCAGGGGGTTTGTGTCCCACGGGTTGAGAACCACTGCTCTAAGAACTCTAAGGAATGTCTCCAAAGGCAGCCTGTGACTTAAAGCCACCATGAAAGGTCAAGCAGAGAGCACACACTGGAAGCTTAGCCTGGTCCAAAAGCCACACAGCACATTCCTTCACTGTGACTTCAGCGCAAATAAAAACACTGCTCTGCTGTCTTTCTTTCTTACTTCCCACCTGTCCTCCCTACAGATCTGATTACTTCTTCAAACATGGGGGCAGGCAAAAGGCTAAGTCAGAGGTAAACGGCTGATGACCTACATCAACAGGCACACAAAATTCTTCCATGTTATTCCACTTTTGCTAGGTAATCCTACTATACTGCCGAACTGAGACATAATTGCAGCAGTTTACGGATACAGAGTACTATTTGGCAAGGACTGTGGTAGTCTCTTTAAAAGCATTATGCCAGGGCTGGAAAGATGGCTCAGTGGCTAAGAGCCCTGGCTGCTCTTCCAGAGGACCTGGTTTCAGTTTCCAGTGCCTACATGGCAGCTCACAACTGTCTGTGACTCCAGTTCTAGGGGATCTGATACCTTCTTCTGGCCTCCACAGGCACCAGGCATGCACATGGTACACAGACATACATGAAGGCAAAACATCACACACATAAAATTTTTCAAAAAAATTTAAGTATTATGCCATACAAAATCTCCTAACAGCAAAGCCAAGATGATGATGATGGTAATAATAATAATAATAATAATAATAATAATAATAATAATATGATGATGATGATGATGATGATGATGATTGAGACAGGGTTTCTCTGTAGAAACAGAGAAACTGTTTGGCTGTCCTGGAACTCCCTCTGTAGACCAGACTGGCCTTGAACTCACAGAGATCCGCCTGTCTCTCCCTCGAAAGTGTGGGAGTAAAGGCGTGCACCACCACTGCCCAGCAACACAGCCGAGAATTTTAAAGATAAAAAAATCAAGCGAACGCAAGGAAAATGAAGCTACAAAATTTGTAAAAACAAATGAATAGGACTGGAAAATACTCTATTAAGTTAGGCGATCCAAACCCGGACAGATGAGCTATACCTGCCCTCTCATGTGTAGATCCTAGATTCTAGCTGTTAAGCACATGTATTTACGTAGGAATAAGTGTATGGAGGCCAGAAAACTTTCCTCCAGGATCATGACACTGGAAAGAACAGTGAGAAGAATACAGTGATATGAAAATGAAACGGGGAATGCTGGAGGTGGAAGGTTCAGCGGGACAGGAGGAAGGATGGGGGCTGGGGGAGACGGGGTGGGGGCCAACCATCCACCACTAAGTATTATGACAACGGCAGAAAGAACATGCTACTTTGCACACTAGTTTTTTAAAGGGAGAAAGAGAAAAGGGGAAAAAGAAAATTCCCGGCCAAGAGGTTCTATAATCTAAGGCTACGGAGCTAAATGAGCTGTGGAAAGAACATTTAAAGCAGCAAACCCACCCTGCTGCTCTCTGCACCAGACTCCGCCCATCATCCTGCTGCTCTCTGCACCAGACTCCGCCCATCATCCTGCTGTTCTCTGCACCAGACTCCGCCCATCCTGCTGCTCTCTACAAAGCCCCTATGTAGCTCACTGTACATGTTTGCAGTAAGTACTAGTCTCTCTCCAATGAAGTCAATCCAATGGAAAAAGAACTCTACAGACAATGAATTTTCGCACTACCTCCTTCATGATAGATAATCTTCTTTTTTCAAGACTGGAAGTTTCTGGTTTCTGCTTCTTCCATTTTCTCTTCAAAGCTTTTTCTTGAAGTTCCCAGTGCACCAATGCTCTGTTCTTTGACTTGTGTATCTCATGACGGCGTACCTATACAGAAGGAGAAACTGTAAAGAAATGTTTTCAGTAACAAAGAAGTTGCCTGCTCCTATGATCAACCACTTACACTAGTTCACCACTTCTTATTCCTTTCTGGTTCACGTGCGTGCATGCGTGCATGTGTGTACATTCATAGCTACATAAACTTTCACAGTCATCTAAGTTTTCAAAAATGATCTAGAAGAGAAGTATCTACAACATGGAGGTCTAGCCTAAAGACACACAAAAATATTAACTTCTACTTCAGTTGTACAGACTACCAAAACCCTCCTGTTCTTCAATTCACAGGTTAAAACCCATTCAACCAGTGCTAGAATATTAATTAGCGGTCAACACTGACACTTTACACATGATGTAAAGGGTCCCAATTCCACCAAAGCCATCTTTGGCAAAGCACACCACTTTCATGATAACTGCATTACTTCAAGTCAATGATGCACTGTTTGTATAGCTCTGAAGCGACTTCATGTGGAAGTAAGGTCACAGATGATGTAGATATCCAGAGAAGGAGAGTTGCTGAGGCAGAGGAGGTAGGAGCCAGAGCTCCTAAAGAGTTGGAAGGGAAGAGTCCACTGGGGTGACTGAGGAATAAAAGTAGACATTTGCCTTTACAAATACTCTAGTGCTCAGAATCACAAACATGAACAAAACTTGGGTCATCTAAGGAAGTTTTAATCATGCAAACTACCAAAAAGACTAGCAATCAAGAATTGTGAACATACAAATCAGAATCACAATGAGACAGTACTTTATACCCACCAGAAGAATTAAAACTTTTTTTTTTTTTTTTTTTTGGTTTTTCGAGACAGGGTTTCTCTGTGTAGCTTTGCGCCTTTACTGGAACTCACTTGGTAGCCCAGGCTGGCCTCGAACTCACAGAGATCCGCCTGGCTCTGCCTCCCGAGTGCTGGGATTAAAGGCGTGCGCCACCACCGCCCGGCAGAATTAAAACTTTTAAAGGTGACAATAATGGTGTGTATATACCAGAAGCTCCACACATTCTGGTGGAATTTAAATCATGTAAGCACTTTGGAAAACAGTTTGACAGGTATTCATAAAGTCCAGTATGAAGATGTGGGACCTAGCCATTCTATTCCGGATACACACAACTGCCTACATACGCATGTGTTCACAGAGACTTGTACATAAATGTCCACAACGGTATTGCTCATAATAGACAAGAAGCATAAACCAGATGTACAACAGAAAAATCACATCTGGAATCTCCATTCAAAGGAACATTATTTCACAAAAGAAAGGAAAGAAGTAGAGATACATACTATAACATGGATGAATCTTTAAAATATGCTAGAAAAAGAGGCCTCACATATGAGACCACATACTGCATCCCATTCTTAAGAGAAGTCAAGGTTAGGCAAATTCAGAGAGACAGAAAGTAGATTAGTCACTGCCATGGACAGGCTAGCCAGAGCTACACAGCACACATCTGCCTTGAAAACAGCAACAACAATAATAATAAAATGCTGAAGATATTTTTAGACAAAAAAGACAACCAGAGATCTGTAGGTCAATTCTAGATAAGTGATAAGACTGTAAACCAAAAATGTTTAGTAAAATTCTAACAGTAGCTAATAAGCCTCAGTAAGATAAAAAATTTCTTAAGATATACTTTTAGGTTTTACACAGATATGAACAGACTAAGTAAAGCTAGACAACTTCCAGAAGGGATGGTGGCCTCTGTTCTGAAGGCTAGAAACCAGATACCAACTAAAACATAGAGTCCAGGACTTAACTTTCAGGGTTAAACTTACCAGATCTTCAGGAGTTGCCCGGTGAACTGTTAGATCATTCACAGTATTCTTTAAAAAAAAAAAAAAAGAGCTTTTACAATGTTTCCTTATAAATTATTAACAGTTACTGAGTTTTAATAGCTGAAAATTGATTCAAAGTCCTAAGACTACGAATCCTTTTTTTTAGGAACCAATATTGTCAATATAACATTAAAACAGATTACTTTTAAATATTCTCTAAAAATAACCTATTTTGAAGTGTTATACAGGAAATGAAGCACTCTACTATTTTAAAGCAGGGTAGCATACATTCAAAACAAGTAAACTTAACTGAAGCTGTAATTCCCACATACTAGGATTCCATGAGGCAACTGTAAAGTTTTTTAACAAAGAAAGTGTGGTGACTACAGCAAGCTGCAGAAGGAACCTGTTTTGAGGACATAGCTTCTATCTCACTAAAACTCTAATTCTTGGAAGGAACTGGAAGTTATTGCCCTTAATATATGTACTCTTAAGGTGGGGGGACACAAATATCCTGCTCTCCCTTCCAAGACCAAGAACATGCCTAAAAACCCACCCGACCCTATTACAGCTGAGCTCCATCACACCACATGACGAACGTCCATTCCCCACAACACGTTACTTTTATCCCAAGACTTACATCCCATTCTTGTCTCACTGTGGCTTTCTTCTTCACTTTCAGAGTTTTTCTTCCACCTCCCCGGGGACCAAAGCGATTCACTCTGATCAGTGACATCTAGGAATGATGACATTTTTTGAAAATACAGGCAAAGAAATAATTGTGCACCATGGGGAAGGGGACATCTAGGACAAACAAAAGCACTCTCAAAATATCAGAAGAAGTTAATCATGATTAAAGGAATAGGCTATCTAAATACTTGCTTTTCTCATTTTATAATTAATAGGAAAGTGAAACCAAAAACCACAATAAAAATGTTTTAAATAACAAAACTTTTTTGCTTAACAAGGAACTTTAGAAATCTAGAAATTATGACCTAAAATAGAAAACTTCAATGGTTATATCTGTCATCAGATATAAAACTCACAATTAATAGAGAAAATGCCAGTACCTAGGTAAACATGAAGAAGCAAAGTGCAGTTCTAAGCATGTTTACACTCATCCCTACCAGGCACACATGTGTTCATCTCAGAGGGATATATATTTTAGAGAACGTCTGATTCCACCTCTAATAAATCTTCACACAGCACTGAATGGAGGCGATTTTGTAAATTACCAGCACTAGCCTGGCAATCAAAATCACCATGTAGGACTAAACATTATGAAAAGTTAGGGAAAAATTCACAGTGCACAGTCCTTGAAAACCAAGGTTTTTATAATCAATACATATGATTGCAAAAACAAAAATATGCATGACTCCTATTTCACAGTCTCTTTACCCACCGTGACAATGCATTATGAAAATCTCTTACATTCTAAGAGACTGGAACTTTCGTTCACAGCCAAAGTGAAAGTCACTTAAAAGATTGCTATCTAGGGTGTACTTAACCTGTTTGTTTAAACTGTCTTTAAGAGAACAATGGAACAATTGTTCTTACTTGCCTTGGATTTCCCATGTAATCAACTTTTGCAACCTAACCTAATAGCATAGCTCTGATCTTAAACTATGTACTCTTCCATGCCCCTGATCCAGAACAATGCATGTGTACCCTTTGCTGAAAGCAACAAATCAGAGGTTGAAAGCAATCTTCTAAAATGAGTATCTACTTAGGGATACTGGCCGATAAACAATAGTGTTTGTAGTGGTTTGTTGTGTATGTCAGTTAAGATCATTTGGAGCCAATGACATAATCCCTTGTAAAAATCTGTTAAAGATTTCTCTAAAGTGTCCTATTCTTTCCACATGTGATGTTTTCTGTGCTGCTCAGTAAATACAGAGCAAAGCCTTTTGTTATAGATAAACACAGAAGCACAAGCAAGCACACAAGACACACACACACAATCACACACACACACACACACACACACACACACACACACACACCAACATGTAAACACATGGACAGATTTACAAGACAGCCTTCAAGCAGGCACAAATTCAGACTCATACAACTGGTAGAGGACAGAAGACCTAGGGAGCATGAGTAGAGAATTCAAATTTAGACTTGCTCTTGGTTAAATGATCCCAAGGGGAAATGCTTTCTTTCCTTAATGTGATTATGCATTCATTATTGGTGACTTGAAGTCAATCAAAAATGCATGTAATCCACACAACCTACCAAAATAATTACAGACCTTTGGGGCTGATCCTCGTATTTCCAAGCAGCCTTCAGTGTTTATCCTCCCCACCCCTCCCCACAATGGAGATTAACCACAGGGCCTTGCACATGCTAGGCAAGTGTTCTACCCTCAAGCTATGCCGCCTTCCCCTCTCATTAAGTACTTTTAATAAAATAATCTACTGTAATAAAGACAGCTAAAACTCCAGTATGTCTCTAAAACAATCTCCCTTGCTCTCTACATTGTCTGTCTCTTCTTACAGTTTACTCTTAAACACGTTGTCTAATTTCAGAACTTACAAACCGTTAGAAAACAGCACGCTATTTTGTCCTTTCCTGTGGTGCTGAGCTCAGAAGGATGTCCAGGCATACCATATGCCAGGCAAGTTCCCTTACACTGAGCTCTATCCCCAGTCCAACAATTAGGACTTGTCTTCCCATGACTAGGCCCTTTTTATTTACCTATTTCTATTTCGAGTTTTATTAACACATATATATTTATAATAAGAGTTTTGTAACTGTTTCATTCATGTACACAATGTATTTGATTCTCTCAATTCCCAACTGCCCTCTCTTCTCCCCCTCCAACTGGTCCCAGGCCTCTTTACAAACAACCTCCCTTCTACTTCCACATCTTTTTCTTTAAAATCTAGAGAAAAACATGCAATATTTACCATTCTGGGTCTGGCTTACTTCCACTTAACATAATTTCTAGTTCTATTTTCCTGCACATATGATTTGATTCCATTCTTTTTTGTGGCTGAATAATACTCCCTTGCATCTATCTTTATCCAGTTATCTGTTGATGGGCATCTAGGCCGAATCCATAGCTTGACTACTGAGAAGAGGGGCATAATAAACATGGATGCACAGCTATGCTGTGGTATCCTTAGATCCCTTTGGTAGATGCCCAGGAGTGGTACAACTAGAACGCAAGGTGGCTCTTCCTATTTTTTAATTCTGAAGAACTTCCACACTGGTTATACTAATTACACTCCCAACAACAACATAAAGGAGCTCCTCTCCAGCTCCCAATATCCACATTAATATTTGTTCTTGTTTTCTTGATGACAATAGCCATTCTGGTGAAATAGAATCTCAAGGTTGTTTTGATTTGCATTTCACTGATGGCTGGAGATGTTTAACATTTTTTTAAAGAGCTCTGTGTGTGTGTGTGTGTGTGTGTGTACGCAAATGTATATACACCACATATGTGTGGTCCACAGAGACTAGAAGAGGCTGTCAGAATCCCTAAAGCTGGTGTTATGGGTGATCATGAACCACCCCACATGGTGCTGGGAACCGAACTCAGTCCTCTAGAAGAACAGTACACACTCTCAATGACTGAGCCATCTCTCCAACTCCTGGACATTTTTCTCGTGTATTTATTGGTCATTTGTACTTGTTTTGAAAACTGTTCAGTTCATTTGACCAAGGGTTAGTCAATGTCTTCTTTGGGTGTTTAGATTTTTAAAGTTCTATATTCTGGGTATAAATGCCCTGTCAAATAACTGAAACACACTAGGGAAACAGGCTTCTACCCATACTGTAGGCTGTTTCTTCACTCTCTCAGTTCCAACTGTGCAGCTTTTTAATAGGGCATATCATCATTTGTCAATTCTTTTACTGCACTTATTTATTGATCCCTGGGGGAGAGGAAGGAGCACATGCCCCAGTACATGGATGAGGGCCAGAGAACAACTTGCAGGCGTTGGCTTCCTCCTTCCATCATATGGGCCTCAGAGATACTCAGGTGTTAAGTCTGGTTCTAACCCTCTGAGCCATCTCATCAGCCCACATTTATCAACAGTCTTACACAGAAAGTCTGCCTGTGCCTATATCTTGTGTTTCCTTCGTTTTCTCTAGGAGGTTCATGTCTTTCATTAAGGTCTCTGATCAATTTTGAATTGAAGTTTTACAAAATGAAAAAAAGGGATATGGTTTCAGTCTTCTACTTACAAACACAATCTTCTCAGCACCATCTGTCACCAACAATTAAGTTTTATGATGGTGATGGCAATAACAACTGTAGAGGAGGTAATGAAAGCATCAGTTAAGATAGTCACTTGCTATATGCTAGCTACTGTTCTAAGCTCTTTTTGCACATCTTAGTTTCTTTAATACAAGAGGCTCAGCTGGACAGTGATGGCATACACCTTTAATCCCAGCACTCAGAAGGCAGAGGCAGGCGGCTCTCTGTGAGTTTGAAGCCAGTCTGGTCTACAGAACTAGTTCCAGGATAGCCTGTCTCAAAACAACAACAACAAAAAAAAAAAAAAAAAAACAAAAACCCCAAGAATTCCAGAAAGTGATTAATTCTTTGACTCATTTTATAGATGAGAAAACTAAGGGGCAAAGGGTTAACCAACTGTGACATTCATTGTAGTAGACATAACCAGCATTTAACAAGACATGGAACAGGCAAAAGTCTAAATGAACCATTGCAATTACAGACAGTTATTTTCCAACAGGGAGTCAAAACAATTCAATTCAAAGATTATCATTTTCAATACTCCTGTGAAAAAGTCGGGCTCCTACATCATGCAGGGTATAAAAATTAGCTTAAAATTAATCATATATTAAAATGTTAGAGCTAACATTATAGACCTCTTAGAGGAAAACATGAGTATAAATACTGTGAACCTCAGATCAAGAAACAGTTGCTGGCATATAAAGTCAAAAGCACAGGAAACCAAGATGTGGGGAGGATGGTGTGTCTCGTCAAAAGTTTTAAACACTGTACTCAAAGGCACAATCAATAAAATGAAAAGATAACTAATGCAGTGGCAAAAGGTACTTGCAAATCATTTACCTTGTATCTAGACTATATAAAGAAACTTCAAAACTGGACTATTCAAACAATCCAGTTTAAAAATGAGCACAGTCTTGAACAGACATCTATTAGATACTGCAGATGGTCAAGAAGCACGTAAGAAGATCATCCAGAGAGAGGCTGGTGAGATGGGTCAGTGGTTAAGAATCCTTGTCACTCTTCCAGAGAATAGTAGTTCAATTCCCACCACCTACATGACGGCTCACAACCACTTTTAATTCTAGTTCCAGGGCATCTAACGCTATCTCCTAACCTCCAAAGGCACCAGGCAGCACATGGTGCACATACAGACATGCAGGCAAGACATTCACACACATAAAATACGAGAGACCTTGAATGAAATACAACTCAAAAATCACTCTAGGGTGATTTTAAAAAAATAAAAAGGAACAGACCAGTATTGACAAGACTATGGAGAAACTGAAATCTTCATGTACTTGTTGATCAGAATGTAATTTATATAGGCACTCTGGAAGACCAGTGAGAAGTTACTCAAAAAATTAAACACCATTACCACATGACCTAGCAATTCTCCTACATAAACACTCAAGAGATTAAGAACATTAGTCTACAGAAAAACTTTGTAAGTAAATGTCCATAACAATATTATATTTAGTAGAAAGAAGTGGAAACATCTCAAAATGCCCATTAACTGATGAGTGTATATATATATATATATATATATATATATATATATATATATATGTAATGTAGCTATACAATGGGATAGTATTTGGCAATAAGGAATGAAGTACTGATGTATGCTACAGTGTAGGTGAAGTTTGAGTATACTATGAGAAAACTAAGCACAAGAGCCACGTATCACATGATATCATTTCATCTAAGTCCACAATAGACATATACACAGAAATATGTATGCTAGTGGTTTCCTGGGAGAAGAGAGGAGTATAGTTTGCTTCTCTTCTGGGGTGGGAGGAGATGAAAATGTTCTGGAATTAGCAGATGATGGCTCTACAACTGTGAATGAACTTATCTAAAGGATGGATTTTATGGCACATGAATTATATCTCAAAGCTGTTGTTTTTTAAAATATAGAAAATACAATACTGTTCAAAGGAAGGAAGTCTGGTATATTTTAACCACTCACAGATCTTCCATATACTATGCAGAAACACAAAGTGGAGGAAATCTATGGACAAATTATACATCCCTAAAAATTATATTATGAAAACTCAATGACAGGGGAAAAAAAGTTAAATGTAAGGCTGAGAAGATGGTTCGGTAGGTGAAGTTCTTGCCTTAAAAGCACAGATCCTGAGTTCCAATCCACGGTACCCACATAAACACCAGGAAGGCATGGCCGCCTGTCTCAGAGCACAGGAGGAAGACATAGGCAATCCCAAACTGGTTAGCTACATTACCAAATCAGCAAATTCTAGATTCAAGGGAAAGACCCTACTTCAATATATAAGGCAGAGAAAAACGGACAAAAACATCAACCGATACCCACCTCTGACCTCCACACACACATATACACACCCATATATAGCATACACATTTGCCAAAAAAAAAAGTTCAATGTGAAAAAGTGATATACAGAACTGCATGCATGACCCCACTGATGTTAATCCATATGCACCATTAATGAAGAGCCTCACCACTGTCTTGAAAGATAACACGGTACAGTGGCTAAGAGTACAGCCTGGAATCAGCCTGTATGGATTCACCCTTCAGCTTTACCACTGACTCTAAAATGAAATTGTAAGCTGCTTGGAACCCCCTGCCTGGCGCATACTAAGTCTTACCGAACTGTTGATGACATCAGTGACAATTATTCATTTTCTCAAATGAGCTAAATAAGGCTTAGAGAATGTAATCACATTGCTTAAAGTGACGTAAATAATAATGAAGAGAGCAGAGAAGAGAGCTGGGAAACCACTAAAAATAGATTAACTCTGCTTGGTTCAGAACATGCGACTCTCTAAAAGGGAGGGAACTTTTATTTCAAATTATATTTAAAATATTACATTTATTCCTAAGCTCAAACTGCCTACTCTTCCTCCATCTCTACTAAGAACGATTTTGTTATTAATCTTCCTGCAAGGTTTCTTCTTCACTCATCCATCCACTCCACTCATCGAATAACTCTGAAAGTGCCTGCTAAGAGCCAGGCACCAAATAAAACAAAAGAGAGAAACAGCCTATGCCCTCACAGAGGTGGGTTTCTCAAAGGACCGTTTAAAAATCGAAGAGGCGGGCCCAGAAAGTCGATTCTTTATGTCAAGGAAGTAACTAACCTACAATACACATGAAGGAAAGCTACCTCCTCTCCTCAATTCCCTCCGCAAAGTTGGGGCTGAAGATTAAGCATGAATAAAAGAGGAGCGCAAAGAATATGCTCTGTGCAAGGGGAGAGCGTATTTGCAGAACTTGTGTGCAGTCTGAATAGCAACGACTTGAAAGAGTCGAGGAAGAAAGCTGAGGGCCACAGCAATGTGAGCTCTATACAAGACCACAAGAAGCCCTTGCAGGCTTTTAAGGAGGGAATTCTACCAGATTTACCTTAACTAGTATGAACACAAACTGAAGGGCTACAAGAACCCTGTCCCTGCCATCAATCTTACCCAGCTACAGGGATCCAGATCTCATTTTCCTTCTTCCTAAGATTTTAATGGAGAAGATTCAACCTTAAGGCCTTCATTCGTGTGGCCCGACTGACTTTTCTTTCCAGTTTTCCCTCCCGACCTTCTCATGCAATGCCAAGCACCATTTGGAACAACTTCATGCTTTGGACTTCCCAATCCCAAGCCTGCCCTAAACTCTCAAGCGGCCCTTTCTTAGAGACTCTCTCCTAACCGCTCAACTTCAAGGACACGCCCTGTCCCAACACCCCGAGTACTTTGCCACTCCTTTGCTGGACAAAAAACACCAGGAACACGGGGCAGCTTAGGGATTTCCACCGCCAGCCGGGCGCCTGAACGGGTCGCGCATGCGCACGGTCGGGCGTCCCGCAGAGGGAGCCGCAGGCTCTACCCGGAAACGCACTCCGGCTCGGCGCGGAGAGCAGCCGTGCGGCCCCGAGCGGATTCCCGGAAGATGGAGGCGCCGGCCGCATCTCCCTGCCTAATGCGCGGACGTCAGGCCTGCCGCCCCCCCTACACCCAACCTGCCTTGCCGCTGGCCGACTGCCGCCTCCACCCCGACTAAAACTTCAGCCTCCAGAACCGCAGAGCCCGCCACGGGGGAACGCGGAAAGTGGCTTCCGGGATGTTGCCAGGGTTACCAGAGCCCCGCCCCCACGCCTTTGCGTACATCCGGCGAGCCCCTGGGATGCGTCCCCGAACCCGCGCCCTGTGGGTGGCTGGGGCCGGGTTTTCTCTTGTTCTGTTTCCATCCAGAGAGCGCACTGCAGAGGGATGAAGGGCGCGCTCGTCCTAAGCCTCGAGAAGTCTCCAAAAGAAACGTTTCTCTGCACACCAGGCTCCGAATATCGCACTTATTTGCCTTCACTTTTGTTCATGAACTTAAAAATATTTCTTACCACCTACCTGTGTGCCAAACACGCTAGGTTCACTAGGAACTGAAAACAGACCCTGCCCTCAAGAAGTTACAGCACCTTAGCAGAAATCTACTGGTGACAGAAACGGGCACGGTGAAAATAGTGGCAGATCTTAGAAAGAGTCGTACCAACTAGATAGTGCCCTTACAGGAATGTTTTAATTTCTCGGGAAAGCTGAAATTCAAGGAGGGGCGGACCATCAAAGGAGAAAGGATTTCTACAGAGCCTGCGCAAGGATGTATGTCAAATGGCAGTGGATGAGTAGAAGTTGAGAGAATGTGGTGGTTGTGCTTGGACTGGAGCCAAGGTGTGCATAACTTCGCTGATCATGTTAAGGACATTACAGTGAACTTCTTATTCTTGATAACTTCCTTTGTAGCCCCTGGCCTTCTACTATAAAGAAAGAGCTACACATGGATCAACAGGTGTATATTCAGAGTCATCTAGGTGCAAGGAACTGCCTTCCGGGAGTCTCCACTGATTTGATGCGGATGTAGTCATTTGGCAAGTTTCCAGCACTGACTTTCCTAAGTGTTGCAGCTGCACATGTAAGACAAACGCCCATGCTGACTTTAAACTCGCGCCCAGTAATCTTAGGTAGGCCCCTACAGGTGATCCAACATTTTGTTACAGGTCTCTGCTCCATTGATTCTCTCACTCCCCTAGGTGACAGTGGTATGCTTTCTTATTTAGCTCCTTCTCTAACCTCATGCCAGCCTATGGCCTTCCTTGTTACTTCATTGATAACACGGAATTCATTTTAAGAAAACCTCTATCAGCTTCCATCATGGCTTCAGTCCTCCGATCGACGTATTTACCCAGACGTCATCTTTTCCTTCAGCTTCGGAAGCTCAATGAAACATAAACACACACACACACAAGAAAACTACAAAGTTCATAATCAAATTGATTAAAAGCAGTGATACAGAAAAAATCTAAACATTAGACGTGCACAAGAACAAAAATTAAAATAATAATTTCTTTTTAGAAACAAAACTAGACATGACAATAACATATGTTGTTCCATTTATTTCTGCCTTAGTTTTACTATTATATATATATATATTATATATATAAATTTTGTCTTGTTTGTGTATTTTATACATATTAAAGAAAAATGCATCTTCTTTAGAAAAATAACAAACCGATTATGAAATTCTTATGAAAATATGGAAAGACCTGGTTTGGACTGCAACCTCTTAAAAGTGAGCCAAGTAAATTTTTTCTTCACTTTAACTGTTTCTCTCCGGTATATCGCAAGCAACAAACAGTCTGAAAAAAGAAGATCCCTATTAGTCTTCTGCAGGTGGTAAATATTTGGCCCATCAGCTCTTGAGTGCTGTTGAATTCAATTTTAGACTTACTTGAGTTCTAATAATTTTCTTAGGAGAATGGGAACTAGCAAAGAGACAAACACATGTAACTGACCTTGGCTGTAAGTCCCTATGATCTCATTAATAGAACTGGAATAATCCACTGGCTTTTATCCTGGGGGTCCAGGAATAGATTACATAGCCTACAAATAGTAAGATTGATGGTAGTGACCTTCCTGGGATAATATGATAACCGAGCTAGAACAGTGCATTTTAATTTGACAGTTATAGTAATAACCAGTTATAGTAGGTGAAAGTAGAGTGCTAATTACAATAACCAATGGCTTGTAATAAATGATAAGAATGGTCCTCACTGAACTGGCTACAAACAAAACAGGTAGTAGACCCTGTCTTTGTCCATCATCTTCAATAGAAACTGTCCATCAAGATAGCTGCTTGTTTGAAGGATCTTAACCTATTTTCAACAATAGGCTGCTACTTGAGAATTTTCATGGTAAAGTCTTCTCTTGAAGCAACTCTCCAGTAGTGTGGAATTTCAGATCTTTTTCCTTTAGTGGTTGTGATAGGCTAAATTTTAGTGTCACTCAAACGTCCACGTGTTTAACAGTTGATTGATCTTCAGGGTGTTAGAACCTTTAGTAGCTGGGCATGGTTGTGCACAATTTTAAACCCAGCACTTGGGAGACAGAGCAGTCAGATCTCTGTGAGTTCAAGGCCAGCCTGGTCTACATAGTGAGTTTGTGGACACCCAGAGCTACATAGTGAGACCCTCTCTCAAAAAAGAGCAAAAAAGAAGTTGTTGGGTCACTGAGAACACACCCTTGAGGGTATTGTGGATGTTTAACATCTTTTTTCTTCCTGGTCACAAGGTATGATGTTCTTTTTGCTGCAGGCTCCTCACTATAACCTTCCAATATGGCCACGAAAGCCCCAAAACAATGAATCTGCCAGATCTTGAACTGGAGCCTCTAAAACCGTGAGCAAAAACCAGTATGTGTATGTTACCACAGGTATTTCATTAAAGAAAAAGCTAATTGCAGTTGTGAAACATAAAGTCAATGATGGCTTTCTGGAGTTTCACTGCTACATTTCTTGATGACTGTACCTAATAAGAGTCCTAATGAGACACATGAGCAATTTGGGGGTGTTGTGTTGCGTTTTGTTTTGTTTTGTTTTGTTTTGTTTGTTCGTTTGCTTTGTTTTGTTTTAAACTGGGCATAGCTTACCAATTTTCTTTTTCTTTTTTTTTTTTACTTTTATTGATTCTTTGTAGATTTCTCATCATGCATTCTGATCCCACTTATCTCCCCGTCTCCTCACATTTGCCCTCTGCCCTTGCAACCTCCCCCTGCCCAAATCAAAATCAAATTTATGAGAAAAAACAAAACAAAACAAACAAAAACAAAAATAAAATTAAAAAAAGAAGAAAAATCTTGTCGTGGAAGTTGTGATGTGGGCCGTGGAGTCCTTTTATCTTTACTTGCAAGTTTTCAGTGCCTTGACTCATTGGTCTGGCTCGAGGCCTCTGGTTTCTGCTATACCACCAATAGTGGTCCCTCACTGGGGCTCCTCTTAGATATCCTGTTGTCCTCTGTCATGGAGATCCTGCTGTTTTGGATCTGTAGTTCATCCCCTTCACATGATCCAACAGTTCATAGATTCAGTGACTGTTGGGGTGGGTTTGCTCATATCCCCGGTTCTGGGCCTTGGTGGTAGCTGGGTTGGTCAGCTCACTAGCTTTCCCTCATCGTCACTACCAGGGTGAGCTCTCCAGCACTGCCTCAGCTAGCTCACCGTGTGCAGCTTACAGCAAGGAGCAGGGCCAGTTCTCCCACTCTCGGGCCCTCAGATCCAGGTCCTCCTCACTCACATCACCAGGGCCAGCTCTACTATTTTGCCCAGACAAGGTGCAGGGCCCTCTCTCCTGATTGCTGTAGAGGGGATACCATACGAGGGCTTGGCAGGGTCAGCTCTCCTGACAAGAGCAATTTTTTATCTGATATCTCTGTTAATTATGAAGTTACCTAATCTGCAGGCAGCAGAGTCTAATATTAGGGGAGAAATGTCTAAATGCACAGACATACCAAGTCATGTAAGGATAGCCAGAGTGCGGTCAAGGAGATGGATGATATGGCCATAAGAACCAGCCTTTGGATGTTTGTACTTACCAGAAAGGAGTAACACCTTACAAAGTTCTTTTTTTTTTTTTTTTTTTTTTTTTTTTGGTTTTTCAAGACAGGGTTTCTCTGTGTAGCTTTGCGCCTTTCCTGGATCTCACTCTGTAGACCAGGCTGGCCTCGAACTCACAGAGATCCGCCTGGCTCTGCCTCCCGAGTGCTGGGATTAAAGGCGTGCGCCACCACCGCCCGGCTACAAAGTTCTTTCATAGCAGTCCTAGTGAATTATCCCCCTGAATCACGCATACCACAGTTGATACACCCCAGATTAGAGGCACAAATTCAAGCAGAGGGAGAGTTTCAGCCTGGAGTCATTCAACATACCCTTCCTAAAAACAGATAAATCCAATCCAAAGGAGGTAAAAGGATTCCACAAGAATCTAGTTCTTGACCATGCTTCATCTTTACACGTTTTCTAGGATTACTGTATTCACAAGTAAGTCATGCCCCCGAAATAATCTTTTTTAATGTTTTCCACCAGCACCGTGTCCAGAAAGCTCACAAATCCCTGTAATCCAGCTCCAGGGGATCTGACGCCCTCTTCTGGCCTCCACGGGCACCCACACTCACGAGATCATACCCCTCCACACACATAAGCATACATGTAATGAAAAATAAAAATTTTAGTGAAAAAATTTCTCAGTGTGTTCATTTATCTGTGTGTATTTGTAGCTGGCTGGCTTGTGACATAGTCTTGTTATGTAGCCCAGGCTGCCCTCAAGTTTTTGGTTCTCATGACTCAGTCTTCAGAGGGCTTGGATTACAGGTGTGAGCCATCATACCCACTTTCTTGCTTATTTCGGTTGGGAGTCCTAGCAGAGAGGAGAAAAACTTTTCTTTCTCAACTATACTAGAAGTAAACCTGCTATCTGCTATGTATTTATTCCCTGGTCTTCATGGGTGGAGGGTGGGGACTTTAAAAATGTGACAAATTCTGCAGTCTGAGCTGGTTTTGCCTCATTTTAGAGGAATATATTTTAACAAAAGCTCATGCATGGAGTGACAGCATTTTTGATAGCTCATCCATCTCCAATTTCAACTGTGCAGTATGATTCATCAGCAAGTGATAAAAAGATTCTCAATGGAAGTTACTAAGAAACCTGAATAAAGGTTCTCTATGAAGCAAAAACATTCATTTGGTTCCCCTTCTGTTGGAAGCTTTCAAAGGATATTCACAAGGTTCTTCCCTTCTTCAAGGCTATATAGGAGGCAAACACTTGACTGGAATGTAGTGTAGCTGCCTATCCTCACCCAGGGGTCTTTCCAGTGTTATGATTTCTCATGCTTTATCCACGTTACAGGATTATTTAGTGGTGTGGCTATTAACAGGTCTATTACCTGAGAGTCTTCCTGATGATAGAGCTGCCTTTCAGTCACCCATGCTCTAAGTAACCCACCAAACTCCTTAGTTCAGCAAGCTGGGCTCAGACTGAATCCTTTCTTGGTCTGTTGGTCTTGCCCTCTCTGTCTGGGGCAAAGGGGCATGTTTTACATATCCCCAAACAAAACATCACATCACATCATTGTATATAAAGCACTGCCAACTACAAGTCTGCGGCTTTACTTTGATCTTAGCTTTGAGAGATATCAAGGAAGTTTGGATAACAGTCTGATAGGATCTATCTGAACTTTCATAGATTCTGCTCCTGGCTCAAACCTGCAGGGACAAGGATCTGGAACAGCAAGGCGGCTAAGTAGAAGGACCAGGAATAAAAAATAAAGAAGACAAAGGCAACATCTGGGACCAGGAGGTCTTGCATAAGCTGATGACTTATGCCAAGCAAGTTTACTAAGAAATACAGCATCTTATATAGCATTTGCAGGGCGAGGGAAATGGCCAACATTAGCAGAGAGCTACATCAGATAATGTTGGCAAAGAGATAACAGGGTACTTCAAACACAGCTGCCTAAGGACTGATAACCACTGCCTGGGGGAAGATTCAGGTCCTCAGAAACTGCCACCTTGACTCCTAGACGGGCCTTGCCAAGTCAACTCCTGCACAAGGACACAAATCTAAAGTTCCCTTTGTCCTTTCATCAGGGCCTTAGAGAAAGTCTTATGCTGGTCTGGTTTCCCATGCACTCCAGTTTTTCCCATATCAGTGTAATTTTTAGCCTCAGGAGAGTCAGGCAGTGTCAAGATCTTTATCTAGAGTATGCATCAAATATGGGTAGAAAGGGGCTGGAGACATGGTGCAGAGTTAAGAGCGCTGACTGCTCTTCCAGAGGATCTGGGTTTGATTTCCAACACCCACACGGTGGCCCACAGCTATCTGTAACTCCAGTCCTAGGGAATCTGATGCTCTCTTGCCCCCAATGGCACCAGGCACATATGTGGTGCACAGACACACATTCAGACAAAATATCTATACACATAAAATAATATAATTTAGTGTGTGTGTGTGTGTGTGTGTGTGTGTGTGTGTGTGTGTGTGTGTGCATGTGTGTGTGTGTGGAGAAAGCAAGTGTTACAGAGTGCAGAAGAAAAACAGTTATGGAAAGAATGCTCTGAAACCTTACAAAGGGGCCCCTGGTGTATGTGTAATACCGTAATTCCATCTGCAAGGCCTAACTCTCTGTGTGTAAAATTTACAGACATGAGATTACAGAGCCATTAGGAATGCTTTCCAGCGAAGAGCGCAAAGTTTTCAAGCTGAGATATAATAAAGATTTGTGGTTATTTGAAACAGGTATCCCCTTTGTGCTCTAACTAGCCCAAGGAAAAAGCAGAATCAGCATGGGAATGTTTAATGTAGAAAGAGTAGGACTGTCAGAAGGCACTTTATAAAATACTCCGAGAATATAAATGTATTTTAATTCTATCTAGTTCGTTGGTTTGATTCTTTGCTCAAATAATTCTTTAAATTATTTTTTAGATTTTTTGCTTTATTTTTTAATTTTATGCATATGTGTTTTGCCTGAATGTATGTCTCTGTATCAGGTGCATGCCTGGTGCCTGAAGCAGCCAGAAGAGAGTGTCAGATCCCCTGGAATTGGAGTTGTAGACATTGTTAAGATGCCATGTGAGTATTGGGAACTTGAACCTGAGTCCTCTGAAGAACAGCCAGTGTGAGTGCCTTTAACTACTAAAGCATCTCTCCAGCCCCAGTTCTTTTATCTTTATTGATGTGTGTATGTGTTTTTGCTTCTATGTATGTATTTGTACAGTATGTGTGCCTGGTGCCCACAGAGGTCGGAAGAGAGCATCAAATCCCCTGGAACTAGAGTTACGGATGGTTGTGGGCCACCCACCACTTGGATGCTGAGGACGGAACAAGGATCCTCTGCAAGAGCAACAAGTGCTCTCAACCACTGAGCTGTCTCCTCAATACCAAATCCAAATAATTCTTAGTGGAAATGTGTACAGCATGTCTTTGCTTAGACTTTAGCCAATTTTTGTTTTTGTGTGTTTTATTTGACTTAAGTTTGGTTGGACCATGGAAAGAAAAATCCTGTAGATTCCTCTCTGGATCGATCCAATAAACTCTTGCCACCTTACAACATATGTACAAGTTGATAAAGGTCAGCGTCTTAGTTTCTTTCTCTGTTGCTGTGATAAAATACTCCGACGAAAGCAATGTAAGGGAGAAAGGGCTTATTCTGGCTCACAGTTCAGAGGCGCAGTCCATCACGGCAGTCAAGGCAGCAGGTGCTTGAAGCAGCTGGTCACACCACATTCACCATCAGTAAACAGGCAAAGATGAGTGCATGCTAGTGCTCAGCACTCTCTTTCCTTCAAACATTTCAGAACTCACATTCGGAGAACGGTCTTGCACACCCTAAAGATCTCATAGTCAATTAATGTAATCAAGATAATTCCCCACAGGCATGCGCAGTGGCCAGTCTCCGCGGTGACCCTAATTCGAGTTAACAATTAGCACAAACCATCACACAGAGATGCTCCCAGGTCAAAGAATTTCAAGTTTTTCTATGCATACTTGCTTGTCTGTTGGGGGCTTTGGGAGCTCTTTAATTACAACTCTGCATTGGCCTTGGGCCCGAGGTTTAAATTCTACAGTTGTCGGCGTGCCTGATTTATGAAAGTGGTGGTGGCGGCGGCGGTGGTGCACGCCTTTAATCCCAGCACTCTGGAGGCAGAGCCAGGCGGATCTCTGTGAGTTCGAGGTCAGCCTGATCTACAGAGAGAGTTCCAGGACAGGCACCAAAACTACACAGAGAAACCCTGTCTCGAAAAAGAAAAAAAAAAAAAAAAAAAAAGAAAAAGAAAAGAAAGAGATGGCTTCTCAGAAGCAGATGACATTTGCCATCTTAAGGGAGTTGTTGGGAAAAGGCAAGAAGTCTGGAGACGGGGGAGAAAAGAAAGGAAGGAGGGGAGAACATAAGATAAAGGGGGGAAGGGAGACGTAGATGTGGAGTCAAGTGGAGAACAAGAGGGTGGAATTTACTATGCAATGGCTCTACTTGGATGTTAACTGGTAAGCATTTTTGGATCCCTGGTAGTAGGTTTCTCGGCAGACACAACAAGCCAGATCAAGCTGAATCAAAAAGACCAGGTTTAAAGATCAAAGTGACCCTGAATGACTCTCAAGCCCCCCCAGAAGTGAGGCAGGGGAAGGAGGAGGAGAAACCACATGGTAGGTCTAGAAACCAGAGCTTGAAAACCCTGTAGGCGCAGTCTTGAGCATCTCCGAGGGAGGAGATGCCACTTGGTGGGCTTTCTGAGAGGGGTGGGTTTGGAATGGGGGGGGGGCTGAGGCGGAGCTTCCAACTGAACATTAACTTGGTCAGGCTGATCATTGGCTGTTTATCCAAAGAATCTTTTAATGAAGCAATTTATGTATAAGGTTTTCACCTGGAGGCCTCTCTATTGGATGGTCTCAGATATGACAGAGGACATTGAGACAGAGATTGTTCATTGAGACCACAAGATTTATTCAATAGCATGAACAGATAGATATTCAACAGCATGTTGGGGGGCTCTGAGTGCCAGAGACAGTGTGGTGGGGACTCTGAAAAGAAGAACGCAGGACCCGTGGGACAGAAGTGGTAATCTCTTCTTGTGTCTAGCTGAGGATGGGGGTATTTCACAACACAAACCTGTATCCAAGTTCTCTGATTCCCAAAGAAGGAGGCAGGGAAGGTGGTAGGGACCAATACCCCCTCTTTGATGTAAACGCACTTTCCAGTAAGCGGCCCTGGCTTCTGGAAGTCTGTTAGCTGGGGACTGTGGACAGTGTCCTGGCAGGTGGCTGTTAGTACCTATGAAAGAGGAAGAGCAGCTTCATCGTGTTGTAGAACAGTATTTTAAGGTGTGTTACTTTTATGTTGCATTTGTTTAATGCTGTGAAGCTGTGTTACTGTGCCTGTCTAAAACAGCTGTGAGGCAGGAGAGAGAAATAGGTGGGGCTGGCAGGCAGAGAGGATAAATAAAAGGAGAAATCTGGAAGAAGGAGGAGCAAGAAAGAGGAAGGAGCCAGAGAAGGAGGAGGACTCCAGGGGCCAGCCACCCAACTACACAGCAAGCCACAGAGCAAGAGTAAGATGTATAGAAGTAAGAGAACGGAAACGCCCAGAGGCAAAAGGTAGACAGGATAATTTAAAGTTAAGGGAAGCTGGCTAGAAACAAGCCAAGCTAAGCCCAGGCATTTATAAGTAAGAATAAGCTTCTGTGTGTGGTTTCTTTGGGAACTAGAATGGCGGGGCCCCCCAAAAGAGCAAAAGAGCAAAAACAACCAACAACAGCAAAGCACTGTGGTTTGAGCAGCTGCTGGATTCTGACATGACCCTTACATATATACTAATCAAAAAATGTTCCCCACTGGGTCTGACAGATTATATTCCA